TATAAATACATCTCAGATATTGCACGGGACATGCTTACACTAAAAAAAAAGACTAATTCCTGGGTTATCTGAAATTCATATTTGTATTTTTATTTGCTGAATCTGGCAACATTTTTCCACCTGGCATATCTAGTCACAGGGTGAACGAGAAAACATAATTAGAACACCCAGCCCTTGTCTGGTACATAGTCATCACTCAGTAACCCACGGCTGCCATCAGTTACTTTGTTAAAATAACAGGGCCGTACTGAATTACGTGCTTCAGCCTCTCTCACCTTTGTGTCTGCACATTCATTCAGTTGACAACTTTTTACTGAGCACCTAATATGTGCCAGGCACTGTTCCAGGGGCTGGGAAGCAGCAGGGAATAAACCAGACAAGAGGCCCTGCCCTCAGTGGCTGGGATCCCACGGCCCACTGCCTGGAACCGTCCCCCTTCCTCCCTCTCCACCTTTCCCCTTCCTGACTCCTACTTTATGTCCCAGCTGGGATGTCACTTCCTGGGGGTGACCTAACCTCCCACCTCCTTGCCCTGAGCCCTGTCCCCTAGAACATGTTGTAGAACCTCCTAGTGACTGTCTTAGCGGCCCACTGTTCCCTGAGCATAGGCACTGTGTCTGCTCACACCCAGACTCCAGGTGAGGGCATAATACACGTCTGTGCATAAACAAACACCCCGTAGAGTCTGTCTTTATCCACTGTCCACACACTCTCTGCCCCTGCCCAGCCCCCGCCCGCCCACCGTGAAGTGGAGCCGGCTCTCAGTCTCCACCAGCACGTCCAGCCGCAAGGTCATGATGTCCTTGGGGAAGAAGGTCGGGGTGGCACGGATCAGGGTGGCCGTGTAGCCCGTCTTGGTGGTGGTCAGGTTCTCCAGCCTGTAACTGGGATAGTTGGGAGGGAAGAAGCACCAGGGCTGCCCCATCTGGGTGCCCGGAGGCCACCTTGCAGGCATGTAGCAGCAGCCCCGGGCCTCACACTGCTCCTGGGTGATGGCCTTGTCTGGGGCGCAGTCGAAGCGGCCGTCGGGGGGCAGGTCGCACTGTGTGGGTGCTGCCCTCTGGTTGCCGTGGCGCCGTGGGACAGGCTGGGGCCCTTGGCCGCTGGCTCTGGGCTGGCGAGCTGGGTAAATCTCCTCTTGGGAGAAGCTGTGCAGCTCTTGGGGGACCACGTCGAAATCATGAAGCAGGATGTGCCCCAGGATGGCCAAGGAGACTAGGGCGCAGACCCCCAGCAAGGGGCAGGAACGGGGTGGCCACCTCATCATGTGTGGGCAGCGGGCCCAGGAGGCCTGCAGACAGAAGAACCAGGCTCAAAGGGATGGCAGCAGGGAGTGGCCGGGGCCTCAGGAGACTCTCAAAGCAGCTTCCAGACATGAACTTGTGGCCAGCCCAGCAGCGCACAGGCTAGAAGTGAGGTCTGGTGAGGAAGCAGGGCAGACCTGGGGGAGGGAGGAAAAAGGAAAAGGAGAGAAAAGTCCCAAACAGGGAGTTGCAGAATCCTGTGCATTGTGAAGTCTTCTAATATGTTACAAATAAACGCATCTAGAATGTCTGTAAAAATAACCTAATAACACACAAAGACCCACGTGATAGATCAAGTGGAACAAACAAGTTCCCACAGTAGGTAAGTCCCGCTCCCGTATGAAGACTGGCCGAGGTGAGTCTTGGCCAGTGGGGTGGAAGTGTTCCCTCCTTCCGTCCCTCTTGGGCTGACCAGGACGTGGATACAGCCTGTGAGGGGTCTTGGGCACTGCAGCCCAGGTCAACACTCAGGGACAGCCAAGCACAGAAGAAAAAGCCTGGCCCCCAGGACTGGGCAGGCGGAGCCCCTCCCCGCCCCCGCAGTCAGGCTCGTGTGGGGTCTGGTTCTGGGTCTCTGTCACAGCAGCTGTACTGGAGCCTCACTCTGGTTACTTTGGTACTAAGACTGTTCTTACCTGTGTCTTGATTATCTGTATGTTCTAAATATTTTATAGGGAACATTGCTGGTCCCGCTCCTCCAAGGAGCAGCACACACTGATATGGGACTAAATATGCAAGGATTTTATTAGGGGGGTCCTTTTTATCTGTCTGAGAGAAACTGGGGAGGTTGCCAGAGAGGGTTGAGAGCACCAACACACCCGTGCAGGTCTGACCCCGTGGGAGGGCGGTGTGGATTCAAGAGCCCCAGACTGCCATGTAGGTTAGGGAAGCTTGGGCAAGGCCACAGGGTTGGGATTCCTTGAGCCAAAGTTGGCCATTAGAGGGGTCCAGGTCTCCCAGAAGCGGCCTGCCCTAGCGTTAAGGGCCGGGAGGCAGCCCCTCGCAGGAAATGCAGTGATGATTTCAGAGCACGGCGGCTGAGCCTGTCAGTGAAGCTCCCTGTGGTGGGAGGTCTGTGAGCTGCATTCTCATGGCCTCCAGAAACATGCAGGTGTTGGGGAAATGTCACACGCCAGGCAGAAGTGCGCCCAGGTCACTGAGAGAGTCCAAGCCTGTCACAGACACACACCGGTCGCCTGGAACATTCTGGCCACCATGGGTCACCAGTACGTTAGATGCAAGAGTGAACTGTTTTCATTCACAACACTTATGACACCAAAAGCGTGGAGCTTTTTCTCACCAACCAATTCTCCCATTCTCTGGACACCAGCCGGGTGTCCAGCAATTCAATTCAATTCTGACATGAACTCCCAGAGTTAGTGCAGACCCCACAGGTTGTGGGCTCAGTCCCACAAGACTTCCCCCACTTCTGACACTAACCACAAGTCCCAGGTTGTCACCGGCTCTTCTGACCAAGCCACTATCAATTCCGGGGTTCACACAGCACCCCTCACCTCCTCAGGTTCAACAACTGGCTAGAACAACTCACAGAACTCACTTACTGTTACCTGTATATTATAAAGGATACAACTCAGGAACAACCAGAGGGCAAGGTATGGGGAAGGGGTGCTGAGCTTCTATGCCCTCTCTGGGCTGGCCACCTTCTGAGCACCAAAATGTGTTCACAAACTTGGAAGCTCTCCAAACCCCAACTAGTTTAGGGTTTCATTATGTAGGGCATGAATGATGAAATCACTGAGCGCTGGTGACTAACTTATCACCAGCCCCCTCTCTTAATCAAGAGCTTCCTGCCCAGAGGAAGCCCAGGAGAAAGTTCCCACCCTCGAATCCTGCCTTGGTCCTTCTGGGGACTAGCCCCCATTCTGAAGCTATCTACAAGCCCCCAGTCATCTCATTAGCATATAAAAGACACTCTTACCACCCCCAAGATTCCAGGGTTTTTAGAAGTTGTGTGCCAGGGACTGGAGACAAAGACTAATATCTCTTTTTTTATACCACATAGTGTCCCAGCTTCACCTGACCCTGCCAGACACATTTGTGATCATAATGACTCAGAAACTAAGGAACTCAGAGTGGAGTCCAGGGGTCCTCACTTGGGAGCTCTTGGGCAATGACCTCAGCCCTTCCCACCCAGACTTCAGAAGCTGCAGAGGTGTCCAGAAGCACGGCCAGGGCAGCACCCCATGCCCTTCCCTGCTTCCAGTTTACAGACAGGGAAGAGAGCCTAGAAAGGGGAAGAGATCCTAAAATGGGGAAGAGCCACACTCACAGCGCTTGACAATTTAGAGAGAAAACGGGGAAGAACTGAAGGTCAGTAGATCAAGTGGCACTGCTGACCCAGTGGGTCGGTCACCCCGCCTTCAGGTAAGTGTCTCAGAACTGCTGCTTCCCCAGGCCACGGTGGTGGTGTAGACAAGCTGGGTTCAAAGCCCAGCTCCACCACCGGCAGAGGGAAGTAAGCGGTTCTCAACCTCCTGTGCCTCAGCTTCCTCCCTGTGAACGGGGGCAAGCGCAGCCTTCCTCGCCCAGCTCGGGGGCAGTGAGTGGGAACCGTGGAGTTTCCGGGGTCCCCGATGTTACTGGGGTCACTGTCGTTACTGCTGCCTCCTGCCGCGCGCGGCCCTGGCACGGTGTGCTCAACTTCTCCAGTAGGAAAGCACTGACCAATCCCTCTATCGGTCGACCCCTCCCATTTCGGGCGTCACGACTGCCCGCACCCGCCAAGCCTCCACTCTGCGGGGTTGCCGCGGACCTCCCCTGCCCCGCCGTTCGCTGGGACCACTGCAGCCCGGGTCCAGCAGTCAGGTCGGCTCACCTCCGCGCACGCGCGCCCGTCCCCCTACTCACCTCCGCGTACGCACGCCCGGCCCGTAGCAGCAACTTCAGGATCCAGCGGCCACCAGAGCAGCGGCGGCGGGTCACGTGACAGCCCCCTGCGCAGGCGCCCTTAGTGAGTGCTCGCCTCGGGGATGCGCCCTCTGGTGGCGGGGCGCTTGGTGGCGTCCTCGCCCTCCTTGGGCCTCGGCGTCCCTGGAACGTGGGAGGGGCTCAGGGGGCGCGCACCTTGCAGGGGAGAGCTCTGGGGGAGAGGCGGGGCCTCGTCTTTTGGGGTCGCAGAGGGCGCTACGCCCCCGCATGAGCGAACCCTCAGCATCCTGGAGCCCGCCAGGCCGCCCGCCGAGGCACGGCTCTGCGAATCTAGCACCCAGACGACAAAATAGCGAAAATTTGAAAGCAACTTAAAGTTCTTCTGAAAAGGAAAACATTGTCATAACCCATAAAATCGACTGTCATGAAAATGTTCAATAAGGAACTTTTCGTACACAAAGTCTCATGTTAAGGCGAGCAAACTTAAAAAAAAAAAAAGAGGGGCAAGCTTGTACAGCAAGAAACTAACACAACATCGTAAGGCAATTATACTCCAATAAAAATCAATGAAAAAAAAAAAAAAAAGGAGAAAGCTTTCCAAAATGACATACAGAAGCCGGACCCTGTGGCCTTGTCAGGTGGAACCAGGCACAGAAAGCCCGGTGCAGCGGTGTCAGAGCAGGATTGAGGGCCTCCTCGCTTCTTTGTGGGTTTTGCATTTCTGAAATGTTTTAGAATAAATACGATTTTCTCTCATATTCAGAAAAATAGTTTTATTTTTCTGCTGAAAGTATAAAATTACTTTGTAGAACACTTTCCCTTTAAACTGCAGAGAAGGCATAGGTAGCAGGGGCTCAGGAATCAGAGTGTGGGGGGAGGAGCCCTGGCTGGAGGAGAGGGCAGGACAAGTGGGCAGACAAGGAGGTCTGTGTTCATGCACCTGTGTGGTCTTATCTCAGGCATTAGGCTTCCAGATGCAGCCAGGGTCCCCCTGGACTTGCTCGTGTAAGCTGGGAATCTGGATTTAACCCAAGCTGGGAGTGGGGGCAGGAGCAGAGACCTGGGTTTCCAATTTTACTTGGAGGAGTAAGCCCAATGTGGGAATATGGGTTCGTGTTCACTGACACTGCCTTTGCAAGCGGAAGACTCACCGAAATGCAACTGGAAACGCTGAAATTTGACTTGGTTTAAACTGCTGGGTGGCTTAAAAAAAAACATTCCTACAATGCTGGCCTGTCTGTTTCTCTTAACTGGTGTCTCTGAGGGTAGAAAGATTTGAAGCCCCTGATGATACACAAAACTGATCTCCTCCTTGGGGTGGGCGCTCTAGGGCCCGGATGACTCCAGCCTGTTGCTGATGGACCGGCTGACCTTGAGCAGGGCCTCCTGGAACTGGGGGTACTTGTCCTTCACGTGGTGGAGGATGGTGCTGATGCTGGCCAGGCGGTCGTCCAGCCGCTTGAGCTCTGCCAGCAGTGACTGCTTATTGCGGAGCAGGAAGATGTAGCGCCCGTCCTTCACGGCCTGCAGGTGCTTGAGGCGTGACTGCAGGGCCACGAGCGTGGAAAGGTTCTTGGGTGGGACAAGAGACCCCGTGTCAGGCTACACACGTTAAAAAGAGGACACCCTCTGGACTGGCACGAACTCCAACTCAAGGTCATGCCAGAGGAGAACTTTGCAGGAATGAACAGCTGAGGGTGCTGAGTTTCCAGCTCCAGGCAAAGAGGCTGACATGTACAGGGTGGAGCCTGGACCCTCCCTCACCCGCCGTCCAACCTGCCAGGGGCCAGGCCCGGCGCCCACCACTCCCATCTCAGCTGGTCAGGCCCCAAACCCTGCAGCCCTGCTTGACCCCTCTCTTCTGCTCACACCACCACATCCAATCCAGCAGGAAATCCCACTGGGGCGACTTTTAAATTATACGCAGAATCTGACGGCTTCGCACTAGCCCCAGGCTACCCGCGTTCCATGCTGTGTTCCGTGCGTCCCCATCCTCCTTAAGTACCATCATGGCCTCAAACAGGTTCCCGTGTCCACTCTTGGTCCTCCCATTCCACACTCAACATGAGAGCCGAGCGATCCCGATAACCCCAAGTTACTCCTCCCCCCCAACCCCCTCCCTAAGGGAGAAGCCCCTGGCCACGGTGGTACAGCCCCAAGCGGTGCAAGTCCAGGGGCCCCAGCAGTCTCCAGCTCCTGCTGTACCTGGGGGTGCTCACTCCCTCGCTCCCTGCAAGTCTTGACTCCAGTGTCGCTTCCCCTGTGTGGCCGTCTCAGACCACCCTACTTACAAGTGCAGCCCCCACCCACCCGATGCTCCTTCTCTGCCCCCTGTTTCTCCGGAGTATCTATATCACCATCAGATATATGGTATCTTTTTTCTTATTCGTTTTGTTTCTCACCTGCCCTCCCGCCCTCAGAAGGAGGGCAGGGATTGTCACCTTTTCTATTCTAGTCTGTTGCCCTGGCACCCAGGACAGTGCCGGCCCATGGAGACTTCATGGGAAACATGAGGTGGACGACAGCACCTCAGCTGTGATCAGCCTGGGCTTAGCTGGGCCGGAACGGGCCTTGCTGCTGGGTTCCTGTGGCCCTGGCGGCCGTGGGGACTTGTGTACCTGCCGCTTGAGGGCTGCCAGCTGGTACAGGTCAGCTTCGAGCTCGTCGGCCTTGGCCTGCATCCTTGACAGCTGCTCCTGTTTCTCCAGGAGGGAGTCGCTCACGGATTTTTGAGTTTCTTCCAGTTCTAGGATGGTTTGGGTGCACTCCTCGGTGGCCTGGGGGGTTAGACAGGAGCATCCTGGGACCCTGGCCACCGGTTATTCAGCCGACAGAGCAGAGTCAGGCTGGGAGGACCCCAGGATCCTCTATGCACATGATCCAGGAGGATTCCCAAAGAGGGGGTGCAGGAGAGTATTGGGGGTGGGGAGGCCAGCAAGGGATCCCTGGCCAGACCCTCTGTGGGGTGGGGCGGAGAGGAGTCCATCACCAAGCTGGGCAGAGGAGGCCCCTGGGGAGCCACGAGGGGTCGAGAGGGATGGACGCCAGGAGTGGCCAACGTGGCAGAGAAATGCACAAACCAGGCCCGGAAAAGGCCCCTCTGCACCTCCAGTAACATCCAAATGAGCAGTTGGATCAAGTCTGTCATTTTCAGCTACCTTTCCTCATACAGGACTCCCCCTACAGGGGCTATTCCAACATTCTCCATTCAGTCCTCTGGGTGATGCCATAAGGTGAGGACCCATTTCACAGGTCAGTAAACAGAGGTACAGAGAGGTCAGACAACGTGCCTGAGCCATGAGTGGAAGAGCAGGGCTGGGACCCACGGAGGGGCTGGGACCCACGGTGGGGCTCCGAGGCCGCTTTCTGTCTCATGTAACCCTCGCCTCTCAGGGAGGGGCCACTGCTCCTATCTCCACTGGCAGACGAGGAAATTCAGGCGTGGAAGGTTTCTATACGCACTGAGGCCACACAGCTGGTCAGCAGGGGCTGAGGGAAGTCTGAGCCCACAGCCCAGCCTGGTGATCACAAAAGGAGGGGGCACTTGGGCCATACAGCTGGTCCCTTCTCAGGGCAAGGCACACACCACAGTGCTCAGTCGATATGGACTGGTGGACGGGGACATGGGCTCGAGTGGGTGCCCTCCACGTTCCCGCTGGCCCATCCCCACCACCCACTTGGGGTCAGTGACACAGGGACTCATGCCCTTCACCAGCACTCCATACTTCCCTGATGCCATTTCTGTTAGGCAGAAAGGGGCAGAAATAGGGCCGCCTCCAGTCCTAAGCTGCACCCTCCCTATATAGATCTTCTGTTAAACCCAAGACAAACTCCCAAAGAAAGCCCCTATCAGAGCAGAACGTTAGGGGCACTCGGGAAGCACCTACTGATCTGACACCCACTGTATCTTGACCCAGAACCAGCACGTGGGGTGTGAGGCTCAGGCTTTTGTCCCCAGCACAGAAGAAAGCAGCTTGTCTGATTCTGCACCCGAGCTCCTCCCATCACCCCCAGCCCCCACTGTCACTTCTCTGTCTCCTAAAACAGCCCTGACACAGCAGCTGTGACCATAGCTCTGGGAATGAGGGGCAGAAGAAGAGGCGGTAAGGCAGGTGGGGCAGGGAGGGACCGGCCGAGAAGCAGGCAGGAAGGACAGAGTGAAATCGCAGCCCAAGCTGGGGAAAGTACATCAGAAATACGGCCCTGGCCAGTGATGCCTGCACGCCTGCCAGCGGGGCTGGTGACACAGGCTGACCGCCTGTGGACAGGTGGCCCGCAGCGTGGTCCCTTCCCAGTCGCTCGGCTCCCCGACCTTGTGAATGTCCCTGATCTTCCGTCTCAGCTCGGTCTGCTTGCGGTGGAAGTCTGTGCGGGTGAGCAGCTTCTTGTCCATCTTGCACTGCCCCTCGGCCCGAGTGGAGATGGTCTCTCTGCGTGCGACAGCCAGCTCCATGTCCTGGATCATCTTCTCCTGCTGCTTCAGCAGTTGGCCGTGCTTGACCTGGGTGCACAGAGCAGAGGGACCTCCCACCACATCCAACTGAACCATCAGGGAACCCGCAGGGGTGATGTCCCCAGGGGAGAAAGGAACCTGGGGGCTTAGTCAACCGGTCAGAGTGATTTAAGGTCCATGTAAAGAACACCAGGCAAACAGGGCAACACTGAGAAACCGTCAGAGACCGGGGCAGGTGGGGCGACATGAGGACTAGATGTGGCCCAGGGTTGAGTCCTGGAGCAGAAGAAGGACATTAGCCAAAAAAAAACGGTGAACTCTGGTTTGTAGTTTGGTTAACTGTATTGCACCAAGGTTAATTTCCTCATTAGGAAAAACGCACCATGGTTTTGTGAGATGGTGGTGTGTAGGGCCTATAGGGCCTGGGCTGGGGGCTGGGTCGTGGTGGGAGCTGGGCTGCGAGGGGCGCCAGGGAGCTTTCTGCAGGGGTGGACGTGCTCTACGTCTCCATGGGGTGGTGGCTGCATACGTGTGCACTGGACATTTAAAATAAGTTCATGTTACTGCATGTAAATTATTCCTCAATAAAGTTGATTCAAAATAACAAAAGGATAGACAGGCAGGAATCCCCAAGTTAAGTTAGGAGTGGTGGTGGGAGGCCTAGCCCACGAGGTTAAAACAGAGCAAGGGTGACAGTAACCAAATGCTCTGCGCTGGCACGAGCCCGTCAAAATAACTGTCACAGCAGAGCAGAGATGCAGGACAAGGATGGCATCCTCATCTCCATCCACGTGATCAACGTGGCCGTTCAAATCAGTGAGAGAAGCACAGATCACCTGATACATGCCGCTGGCATAACTCACTCCCCAGCAGAGAGAACATACAGATGGACCCCTATTCACAACATATCCCCAGATAAATTCCAGGTGTATTCAAGATCTAAGTATGTGCAAACAACTGACAAAGCTCAGGAATCTGTTTGTGTAACCTCAAGCTGGGGAACCTTCTTAACAGTACCGGAGACCCAGGAGCCATACGGGAAAAGCCTGATACACAACTAAACACTAAACACATTCTGAGCGGAAAGAGACCATAAAAAAAAAGGTGTAAAGGCAAGCAGTAGACCAGAGGTAACGTTTAGAATAGGTATTAAAGACAGGGGTTATTAACCCCAATATACAAGGAGGTCCTAAAAATTGCTAAGAAATAAGAAACAGGAAAATCAGGCAAAGATATAAACAGGCAACCTCCCAAGGAGGAAACGCCAAAACACACACACACATATACACACCGGCACACACGTGTGCTCAATCCCCCACGTGTAAACCAGCAACGCAAATCCACTGAGAAACCCCTTTTCATGCAGTGGGTTGTCAAATATTATAGACCGATAAACAAATGAGTGAGTTTAGCAAAATCACAGGAACAAAGTCAATGTAAAAAAGTCCATCGTAGGGGCTTCCCTGGTGGCGCAGTGGTTGAGAGTCCGCCTGCCAATGCAGGGGACACGGGTTCGTGCCCCGGTCCGGGAAGATCCCACATGCCGCAGAGCGGCTGCACCCATGAGCCATGGCCGCTGAGCCTGCGCGTCCGGAGCCTGTCCTCCGCAACGGGAGAGGCCACAACAGTGAGAGGCCCGCGTACCACACACACACAGAAAAAGTCCATTGTATTCCTGTACCTTAACAATGAGAAACTGGAATTTGAAAATTTTAGAAAGTACCATTTACAACAGCCAGAAAACACGAAACACTTAGGTATAAATCTAACAAAACATATGCAAAACCCGAATGCCGAAGACAAAAACACTAACAAGGGAAATCAAACAAGACCAAGTAAATGGGGAGACAGACACACCTGCTCATGGACTGGAAAACTCAGCAATGCTAAGGTGTCAATTCTCTCTAAATTGATCTGTAGCCTTAAATCCCGACCATGATCCGTGCAGGAACTTTTGTAGAAATTGACAGGCTGATTGTCAATGTTTTTGGAAAGGAAAAAGATATTGAATAGACAAGACAATTTTGTAAAAAAGAACAATGCTGGAGGAATCACATTGGACAGAGCCACAGAAATCAGGACCGTGTGGATTTGGGCTCTTGGATCAGTGGACACAGCAGGGGGCCCAGAAACAGACCCATGAAAACAAATATGGTCATTGATTTCCACAAGGATATCATTGTAACAATTGTTTTAGTGACAAAACAACAAACTGGAAACATTCTGAATCTTCACATCAACCTAGGAATGTTTCATTAAATTATGTTATATCCATAGTATATTCTGCAACTGTTAAAGAAGGATAATGTCTGGATTATTTTTAAAAAAATAAGTTGCTGAATTATATGTACTATTTTTGTTACGGAAAACAAAACAAAACAAAACCACAGCTGGGGGGCAAGGGGGCGGTAGCCCCGTCCGTCCATGTGTGTGTGTGTGTGCACATGCCTGTGTGGCTGTAAGCTCCGTGGTAGAGGGTTTGACCTGCTGCAACTTCTGCGGTTTGAAAAGTCAGTTAAATGGAGTGGTTTTCTAAAACTTATCAGCAGTAGATGCATTTGATCAGAATTCCTCTGGACTCAATAGCTAGCGGGGTTATTATTAACCACGTAGTTATAAAAGTGATGTCACATTTGTTTTTGTTACCTGCTCTCATTTGTATCCTTAAGGCCCTGAACCTTTGGCTCAGTGACAGCCTGTGATTTAATTACCAGCTTTTTCTCAAGGGAATGAAATCCAGCTAAAGATGACAGTAGAGAGAAAACATGGCTCGGAAGGAAAAGGTAGGTGTGTTCCTTGAACCCTGTTACTGAGTGAGAGTCTTTCTGGTCCAACAGTGGGATACATCTCACAAATGGGTCGTGAGATTGGTGGGGGTGGGGGTCACAGCCAGCGTTTAAAAATACTGGAGTGCATTGCTTGCACAGAGTGAGGGTAAAATAGTTCATGAATACTGTGCAGACAGCTGTGTGTCCTGTAACCATTTCGGTGCAGTAAGAACAAGAATTGGACAGGCCCTGATACAGGAGGTCAGCAAAGGGAACAGCAAGTTTCCTTGTGCTTGGGCTGCAGGCCGCTGTGCTGGAGTGGTTTCCTCCCAGGACCCCGAGCTCCCAAGCTCCCCACACCTCCCTCCTCCCACCCACCTTCATCCTGTGGATCTCGGCCTTCATGGCCCGGATCTCTGCCTGGCCCGTCTCGGAATCCACTGAGGCGCGCATCTCTTTTGCCAGTTGGATTTTTTTGTCCCAAAGCATGATCTGGTGTCTTTAAGGGAAGGAGAGGCAGTGTAAGAGCTGGAGAACGAAGGGGCTTTCTTTCTGATGCTTTGGTGATCGCTGTGTGCTGTGCTTGGGGTGGGCACCGAGCACAAGAAGCAATGTCTGTAATGGGCTACAGGAGACCCTCGCCTTCCCGTCCATGAGGGGCGCCCTCACCTAGCAGGTGGCCTGGTTAATTTGCAGGCACCCAGGCAAGGGTTTAAATAGAAACAAATGTTACCATTCTGGGACCAGAAGGTGAACTCAACCCCAGTGCCCACCACCCTCACTGGGGGGCCGGGGCAGGGGGCTGGGGCAGAGGAGAAAACAGATATGTAACTTTAGGAGAAACTGAGAAAAGCAAATATAAGTGATAGAATTTGATATAAGAAGAAGTCAAAAGCCTAGATAGACCAAGAGCCTGAAAGCTATTAAAATGTTAGCAAAGACACATGCCCCCCCACCCACTGTGGTCTGAATGTTTGTGCCCCCCCGCCCCCAAATCCACATGTTGGAATCCTTATGCCAAGTCTTGGGATGGTGATGAGGTCATGAGGGTGGAACCCCCATGAATGGGATTAGTGCCCTCATAAAAGAGACCCCACAGATCTCCCCCTCTCCTGCCACCCTGTGAGGACACAGCAAGGAGTCTGCAACCCAGAAGAGAGCCCTCACCCGACCATATAGGCACCCTGATCTCGGACTTCCAGCCTCCAGAACCGTGAGGAATAAATTCCTGTTGATTGTTTAGAAGCCCCAGTCTGTGGTGCTCTGTTGAGCAGCCTGGAGGGACTAAGGTCCTCTGCAAGCTCCAGGTGGTGTTATGTGTAGATTCTGTCAAACCACAGGGAGGGGATGATCCCTTTGCCACTCAGCCCCTTGGCAATCACATGGCACCAGTCAGGGTGCATGCATACAGTACCCGCTCCAGAGCCCTTGCAACTGGAGATGCAGATCTACGTGCACCAATGGGGAAGGACATCACAGAAAAATATAAGGTTACTTCAAAGGGGGACATAGAGAGCAATCTCATTTTTGTTAAAAAAATGAAAGAAATACACAGAGAAAATGGTAAAGGAAGAGGATTGGATTAAGTGTGAGTCTCCTTTCTACTCTGCACACACTGTCACAGTTTAAAATGCTTACCGTTGGGTCTGGATTACTCTTACAATCAGGCACCAGAAAGATCATACAGTTTTTAAAAAGTCTGTCCCAAAGGAAGCCACTCTATTTCCAGCCACCACGATCATGGGTTTGGTGGGAGGGCTGCCCTGAGCTCAGGAGACAAGAACCCCACTCTTCCCCAGGATCCACCTCGGGTTCCAGAGCCGCCCCCACCTCCCGGGCCGGTTTACGTGGATGGTGGCCTCCCACGGCTCCGCGGGGCAGCGACCCTGGGACAGGACGCGCCCGGCACTCACTCCGCCTCCACCAGGCTGTTGAGCACGGCCGCCTTCTCCTCCCTGAGCTCGTTCAGCTTCTCCTGCATTTCGATGGTCTCTCGCTCCGAGGCCTGCATGGGGAGGGGGCGGCTGAGGGTGGGGCTGAGGGCGGGCGCACACCTGTTCCCCCGCCTCGCCCCCTGCCTGCCCACCACGGGCGGGAGCTCAAGGTGGAGCCTACCTTGAGCGCACGCACGAACTCGCCCTCTGTGGCCAGGTTGCCCTGCTGCAGCTCCTCGGAGCTGCATCGGCTCTGGTTCATCAGCACGTTGAGCTTCTTCAGGTCATTGTCCAGGTCCTTCATGTGCCGCTCGATCTGCTTCTGCTCTTTCTTCTCCTGGTCGATCTTGTCTGCGGGGAGGGCGGCCGGGGGTCAGGGGTGGCTCCTGGGGGTTGTGATCCGGGTCTGTGCCCAGAGCGCCCCCCAGCCCCGCCGACCTTCGGGCACCCCCGCCCAGCCAGAGGAGGCTGAAGGGGACAGGGTTGGCGCTCAGACACCAAGCCCCTAGGAAAGACCAGCCAAGCTCAGGGGCAGGGCCGGAAAGCAACGACCCTGACCACCAACAGGGGGGTTTGGGTGGCTCAAGGGCAGGACAAGTAGGCGGCAGGACCTCCGGGAAGAAATGGGCATGATGTGTTCAGGCCGAGTGGGCCATGGACACCAGGCAGCACTTCCTGTGGGGCTGCAGGGCTGGGCTGACCAGGTGGGACCGGGACACAACAGCAGGTGCTGTGGAGGGGGGCTGGGAAGGGGAGCTCACTTTCTATCCGTAGTTTCTTCTGCTCCAGGATGTGGATCTCCTTCTTGGACATGTCCAGGGAGGCCAGGTGTTTCTCGCGCCCCTGCGTGGCCACCACCATCTCCTGCTGCAGCCGGAGCCAGGTCACCTGGGCCTGCGTCACGCCGGCGTTGTGCTCCTCGATCAGCTTGGTCAGCCTCTTGATCTCCAGCTCCAGGGGCCCCACTTCTTCCCCCTGAAAGTGATGTTCACCAGAAAGAAGAATGAGCCTCTAAATCTGGGTGGGCTGCCGAGGGTGGGGACCCCTGAGATCATGTGTCTGTACGACGACTAGGGGGTCTTTACTCAGAGGGACCAGGGACCCTGTCATTGGGTCCCTTCCCCCGAGGGCCCAGGCCATATGGACTGACCTGCTGTGGGAGATATGGGTCTGGGGGTCTGTGACCCCTTCCCCTCCCTCCACTGGCCAGGCCCCACCATGCCCCAGTCTTGGGGCAGGGGCAGCAGGGCCTCTGTCACCCAAGAGGCTTTGCAAATTGTCTTTTAACAGCGCACTGTCATGGGTTAGGGTCTTTACTCCCTTGGAATCCAAGCAGGTTGCAGCTCTGAGACCGCACTCTGGTGTCGAGGTCTACCTAAGAATGCGCCCCCAGCTGCCCATCCTGTTCTGGGACTTGAAGCTGTTGGTGGGTTCCTCAGGTCAGCGATACCTGGATAACCTGTAGGACTTCAAGCCCCAGACTCATCAGACCGCTTCACTTAGAGCTGCAGTCAGTGGCTGAGATCCCGCCTGCTGCCTATCTTCGCATAGCCCGTGGGCCGCACAAAAAATCAGAAGAGAATTTTGTGCCAGGCGGAAGTTATATGGAATTCAAACTTCAGGGGCCCTAGGTAAGGTTTTACTGCACACGGCCACACCCGTCTGTTTACGTACTGCCTGTGCCTCCTCATAGCCGCTGGGGGGGGGATTGCGACAGAGACCATCTGGCCTGTAACACCTGAAATACTATCTGGCCCGACAGAGAAGGTCTGCAGACAGCCCGAGTCAGAGCACTTGGCACAGACACGTGTGCTTCACCTGTATGATCAGCGGGACAGGAACGCGTGTGTCCTACGTGAGTTCGTTTCTGAACATAAGAAGTTCCTGGAATGGCCAGGCATGGATATCAACCCGAGCGGCCTCTCCCGGCCCTGGGGTCTTACCCCGAGTTCAGAAATCATCTGCTCCAGCTGCTTGTTCAAAAAGTTGATGAGGCCTTGCTTTCTCTCAATCAGGATTGTGCGCCTGGAGATTTCATTTTCACTGTTTGTGATGAGGTCGTTGACTTTTTTCACTTCCTTGTCCAGCTCAGCCAGTGTCTTCTGATGCATGTCCAGCCTGCAGCTGGTGTTCGTGACGTCCAGGGTGGTCTGAGCAATGTCACCGTCAATTTTGGAATGATGTGTCACCTGAATTAGCAGAAGGAAACATGTCTGAACTTTTTTTCTCTCTCTGGGAGGCTCCAAAGGAGCTGGTTGGCTTCTTGTTTCCTTGATCATCCAGGTATTCATCTGGAGAAATTCCAAAACATAATCAGGAGAGGAGGATGTTGGCTTTCTCTCCACCTCAAGACCTGTCAAAGGACCTACTTGTTGGAACCCTAATGATTTCTCACAGAAAAAGAAAGCTAACATTATTATCTCTTCTTATCAAACAAACAGTAACGTGCATTGAAACGGGGAAATGTGAAAATACAGATGATCACCCATAAATCTGCCACACAGTTAGCCAGCGTCACTATTTAGAATCTATCCTGCCTTCCTGACTTTGTATATAAACCCCTTTGCCCCCCACCAAAAGAAAAACAGGATCACACTCTACATATAGGTTTGTAAACCACTTTGCAATTTGACAGCTTTCATGTCATGTCATTTTTAATGGCTGTGTAATACTCGGTCATATTTGTAACAGAGATTAGGAAGCAAGTCACAGCTGTCCCTGGGAATGTCATCTGTTCCACAATGATCATGGAGCACTGCTCTTGACAGCTCATGTGTTTTGGTGAGGAATACCAAGATGCCTGCCTTCTTTGAGCTTGTCAATCTCTTATCAACATTCCAACTCTAAATAATGCTGTGACAAACACCAACTTCTAATTTCTATTTGATGGGACAAATGTCCTTACATTTCACTGGAAAAGCTGGACACAGTCCTTAAGAGAAAAGATTGTACTGTACTGGGGCTCTCGCCAACCTTGGTTCTGGGGGTGGGAGCTTCAGCCCGGGGCAGAAGTGCCCAGGGCTCCGTGGGGCTGCCACTGTCCCGAAGGCTGGGCCAGCCCACCCTGCCTCCTCTGTTGGCTTCCGAAGACAGATTTGCTCGACTCTTTCCTACCATGGAGGGTTGATCATAAGGATACTTGTGAGAATCAGGGAGGGAGGCAGCTCGGGCTCACTTTGGGATCAGGGCCCCTTTCCCCGAGCTGTGGCTCTGCCTTGACCTTGCTAGCCAGCCCCTCGCCGTTGGTTGCCCACAAGTTCCTGCCCACGAAAATCCTCAGCTCTCTACCAGCCTGTGGCTCCCATCAACTCCTGGTCTCCCAGGGTCATCTCTGCCCCTCCCCACACGACCCCAGCTGGCTCTGTCACACATGCACTCTCTGACCAGCCATCGTGCATGACTTTCCAGAACATTCCTAGGTTTAAAGCCAGACCCTGCCAGCATCTCAAGTCACCCAGCTCCTTGCAGTCACACCTTGGTCCCTCTGGCCCCTCTGAGCTCTGGCTATCCACCCGTCCCTTTCTTTGCCAAGACCATCCAAGGTCACTGGGTCTTCACAGGGGCCCTGCCTTCCTCTCTACCCCAGTGCTAGCCACCCTGGAAGGGCTTCAGCTCCTAAGTCCCCTTTCAGCCACCAACCAGGCCAACCAGAGCACCCTGATCTCCCCTCAGTCCCCTCGGGCTGTTTGTCCCCTTTGTTGAGACCACCCTGGCCTCCTCCTGGGACATCAGTACTGCTCCTGAACTGCGTAGGCCCCATGGTTCACCTGTGCGTGCCCTCCCTCTGGACCCAGCTGCGTATGATTCTGTCCCTCCACAATCTCTGCTCCTTGTCCCAGATATGCCCACCCTGTCTGCCACCAGCCCACGAGGTGTAATGAGCAGTTTGGGAAAAGTGCCCCCTTTCCAGAGCTGGACTTGCATCTGCTGGCTATTGTTGCAAAAACTGCTGGCCCAGGACCCTTTACTGCCCTCCTGTGGACATGGGCGGTAGTACACGGGCTGCCCACCAATTGTTGTAACAAATGCTGGCCAAGGACTCTTTACTGCCCTCCTGTGGACGTGGGTGGTAGTACATGGGCTGATCACCAATTGTTGCAACAAATGCTGGCCCAGGACTCTTTACTGCCCTCCTGTGGACGTGGGTGGTGGTACACTTGCTGCCCACCAACTGTTGCAACAAATGCCGGACTAGGACTCCTTATTGCCCTCCTGTGGACATGGGTGGTAGGACATGTGCCACCCACCAATTGCAACAAACGCTGACCCAGGACTCTTTACTGCCCTCCTGTGGACACGGGTGGTAGTACACCTGCTGCCCACCAATTGTTGCAACAGATGCTGGACCAGGACTTTACTGCCCTCCTGTGGACATCGGTGGTAGTACACATGCCGCCCACCAATAGTTTCAACGAACACTGGCCCAGGACACTCTACTGCTCTCCTGTGGACATGGGTGGTAGTACACCTGCCGCCCACCAATTGTTGCAACAAATGCTGGACCTGGACTCCTTATTGCCCTCCTGTGGACATGAGTGGTAGTACATGTGCCGCCTACATGGGTGGCTGGGGAAGAGGGACACCTGGGGGCCAGGGGACCGGCCTCTGTGGTGCTGCAGCAGGGCTGGGCAGGTTTACTTCACACCCAACACACTCCATAGCTTCTCCAGTACACACTGCCCCCCCCATTTTTGCTCCCAGCAGGTAGTCTTGCCCCCACTTCCCAGAATAAGAACTGGAAGTACTCCACCAGCGTCAGCTAGGGCATCTCAAGGAGATCCAGGCATGGGCGGTCTTGGTTCCAGCCCTGTCTCTCTGGTTCCTTAGCACACCAGGCCGGGAGCGAGCTGGTCTCCTCCCAGGTGTCTGGGAGGGGTGAGGTGCTTCAGGCTGCTAGCCAGATAGACAGCAGCCCCGAGGCAGGGGGTCACATCACAGGAAGAGCCAAAGAAGAAATTATTTAAGTAACAAATTGCTTTTCTAAGGACACAGGGACCCCCCCCACTCAGAAAAAAGCAAGACCCCTGGGGGAGCAAGAGAGAGCTCATGACAGGGGTAGGGGTGGGGTCCCCAGGCCAGGTGGGCCAATCATATTCACTCAGGACCTCCAGGCACACCCTGGGGAGGCAGAGGCTTGGGCAACTCCACAATCCACTTAAAATGCTCCTACCAATTTGACCAGGGTTTCTGCTGCAGCAATTTATCCTCAGACATGTGGACAAAGATGTGTGAGCAAGCATGTTCAGTGCTGACTTATTTATAAAGTTTAAAACCTAGAAACAACCTGAAGTGTCTAATGAGAGAACTGTTGAACAAAACACATACATTTGTAGGATGAAATGTGATGCATAAGCCAACATGTACTTTTTCTAAGCATATTTAATGGAAAATGTTATGTTGAATGCGGCCAATAATGTAAAATAAAACACTACATACATAGTGAAAAATTCATTGACAACTACACTTGTTTGTGCACTTTTCTCTCTGTGTTATATTTCATTAAAATTAATGTAAATGGATTAGAGTGGATTAAAAACTGGTATATAGTAAGAGTCCTATGTCCTCTAGGGTTGTGTATGCATAGGTGTCTTCACATGTGTGTTCATGTATGTGAACATGTTGCACAAATGTGTGCATGTTTGCGTGTGTGTGAACAAGTGTGCGTGTTTGCTCACATGTGCACATGGGGATGTGTATGTGCACGTGTGTTTCTGTGTGTCTTTGTGTGTATGAGTATGACCGTGTGTGTTTAGAAAAATTTCCAGAAGGAAATACACCACAATTTCAGAAGAGATTATCTCTGGATGGTGGGACTTCAGCTGTCTTATTTTCCTTTTATGCCTTTTTGTACTTCTAGGTTCCCTACAATAAAAATGCATTTCTTTTCAACTAGAAAAAAATGAAAGGTGAATGAACATGCTGAGTGCCCCTTGCTCCCCCCCATTCCGCCACATGTGGTCTGTTCCCCGCGAGAGGCGCCCCAATGCCTGCTCTCCCTGGGGGCACCTGCCTTTCGAGGCCCGGGTGTGTGCAGGTGGCATACCAGGTTGGTCTTTTCCTTCTGGAGCTTCAGGATGAGCTGGTGGAAGTACTTTGTCATCTTGTTGGAGGTCACGTGCTCCTGCAGCTTCTCCACGATGGAGGCATCCATCTTCCTCCCCAGCTCCAGCTCATGTTGGATGGTCTGGTGGAGAGTCTGCAATTGGCCTATGGTTGCCGTGTATTCCTGGAAAGAAAGAGCCAAAGGGTGGGCGCTGTGAAGGAGGTCGGGGAGGCTTGCCCTGCAGGTGGGAGACATGACCATACCATGTGGGCCTTGCCCAGTGCGTCCTCCGTGTCCAGCAGGGTGAGCCTGTAGGTGTTGAACTCATTCTGCAGGGCCTCCTCCTTGGCCAGGCACTGCGAAGTCAGTTTCTGCATCAGGCTGGTTTCCGTCTCTGCCCGGTTCAGGATACTGGCCAGTTTCTCATTCTTTTCTTCCTCCTTTATGATGGATTTCTTATAGGCTTCGAGCTCGCCATCCATGGACTTGACTTGATGCTGGCATTCGCTGCCAAAAGTGAAAGAGCAAAGCTAGGACGTTGGAACACCAACGATGTATGTATGTATGGTGGTACCCTGCTCAGAGGAAGCTCACAGAGTGGAGAGAAAGAAATTAGGAAACCAACTCTTTCAATAGAAAGAGTAGAATCTTAGAAATAGATTTCAATAGAAATAGTTGAATCTTTTTTAAAAAATTTATGACTTTCGCACATTATTTATTTATTTATTTTTAATTTCTTGGCCGCACTGTGCAGCACGTGGGACCTTAGTTCCCTGACCAGAGATCCAACCCACACCTCCTGCAGTGGAAGCATGGAGTCTTAACCACTGGACTGCCAGGGAAGTCCCAATAGTACTCAAATCTTGACTAATATTTTCTAATGTATTAGAACTATTACCTGGGACTTCCCTGGCAGTCCAGTGGTTGGGGTTCCATCCTTCCACTGCAGGGGACATGGGTGCGATCCCTAGTTGGGGAACTAGGATCCTGCATGCTGTGCAGCCAAAAATAAAATAAATAAAAATAAAAGTTAAAAGAACTATTACCTATCTCAAATCCAAGTCTAAAACTCTTCTAATATTGTGATTATGGGAGGGGGAAAGGGCAGGAAACTGTTGCCTTGTGCTTGTGGGTGGGGAGTGGTTGGTGCCAGCCCATCTCCTTTAGTCATGACCATAACCTTTGGAAAGGATATGCTGTTATCTCAGTTTTGTACTCGTGAACACGAAGCTTAAAGCATTTGAGGTGCACAGTGAATGGTGTGGCTGGGAGGAATACAGGTGGCTGTCTCTTCAAATCCTCTCAGCATACTGGTCATGGAAATACCCATAAGTAATGTCAAGTTAAAAAATGCAGATCCTGGATAATGGAATTTGAATTTGTGTGTGTGAGACATTTTTTCCCTTTCATTCTGTGCTGTCCTGCTGTACTTTAAGCATGCTTTTCTCTACTTGTGGTATATTATCCTTTGAATAAGTTTTTATTCAAAAATTCAAAAAGTACTTTCTTCTTGAACAAGAATAATACCTTCCATATTTTTCTCACATCTATTCCTGGGCCTTGGACTCTCTTCCCCCAGCAACCTGTTACTGTCTCTTAAATGTCTTGCCAGATATATTTTATGTATATATAAACATTATGTTTGTGGGTGTTTGCGTATTTCTCTCCACTTAAAAAATCACAAGTGGAAGCTTAGTATATCCTATTCTGCACCTTACTTTTTCTTCTGTTGTATCTTAGAGATATTCAATATCAGTGTATATAGAAATCGCCTTAATTCTTTTCAATGACCAGATAGTATTTTAAATATCTCATTGGTATACATTTAGGCTCTATCCAGTTTTCTGCTTTTTCCCAATTTCACCAGTATAGCAATAAATACCTGTACACATTAAAAAAAAAAAAGATACAGAAGAGATATGTTGTGTTCACGCAGCAGAAGATTCAATATTAAGGTGCCAATTCTCCTCAAACTGCTCTATAGTCTCAATGCATTTCCAATCTCAATGCCAGTAGGCATTCTTTCCCCAGAAATTGACAAGCTAATTCTAAAATTCATATGGAAATCCAAAAGACCTAGGATAGCCAAAATAATTTTGTAAAAGAACAAAGACTCCCAATATCTGATTTAAAGACTTTCTATAAAGCTGTACTTATGAAGACAATGTGGTATTGGTGAAAGATAGACAAATAGATCAATGGAACAGGATGGAGTGTGTACACACTCACACACACACACACACACACACAATTGACTGATTTCTGACAAAGGTGCCACGGTATTTCAGTGGAGAAAGGATGGTCTTTTCACCAAGGGTGCTAAGACAACTGGAGATGGACATGCAAAAAAAGACTGAACCTCAGACCATAATAAAATTAACTTGAGGGCTTCCCTGGTGGTGCAGTGGTTGAGAGTCTGCCTGCCAATGCAGGGGACACGGGTTTGTGCCCCAGTCTGGGAAGATCCCATATACCGTGGAGTGGCTGGGCCCGTGAGCCATGGCCGCTGAGCCTGCATGTCTGGAGCCTGTGCTCCGCAACGGGAGAGGCCACAACAGTGAGAGGCCCGCATACCGCAAAAAAAAAAAAAAAAAAAATTAACTTGAAATAGATCATATAACTAAATGGAAGAGCTAAAATTATCACACTTTAGCAGAAAACATAGAGAAAATCTTTATGACTCTAGGTCAGGCAAAGATTTCTTAGAGAGGACATTAAAAGCATGAACTATGAAAGAAAAAAATTAATAAATTGGAATCCATCAAAATTTAAAACTTTGGCTCTTCAAAAAACATCGTTAAGAGAATGAAATTACAAGCCAGCCTGGGAGAAAAATATTTTCAAAATACACATCTGGTAAAGGACTTGTATCCAGAACATATGAGAACTCATAACTCAATAATCAGATAAACCACTCAGTTTAAAAATAAGCAAAAGAATAAAATACCTAGGAATAAACCTACCTAGGAAGGCAAAAGACCTGTACTCTGAAAACTAAAGGACACTGATGAAAGAAATTGAAGATGACACAAACAGATGGAAAGATATACTATGTTCTTGGATTGGAAGAATCAATATTGTTAAAATGACCATACTACCCAAAGCAATCTACACATTCAATGTGATCCCTATCAAATCACCAATGGCATTTTTCACAGAACTGGAACCAAAAGTTTTAAAATTTGTATGAAAACACAAAATATCCTGAATAGCCAAAACAATCTTAAGAAAGAAGAACAGAGTTGGAGGAATCACACTCCCTGACTTCAGACTACACTACAAAGCTACAGTAATCAAAACAGTATGGTACTGGCACAATAAAACAGACACATAGATCAATGGAACAGAATAGAGAGCCCAGAAATAAACCCACATACTTATGGTCAATTAATCTATGACAAAGGAGGCAAGAATATACAATGGAGAATAGACATTCTCTTCAATAAGTATTGCTGGGAAAACTGGACAGCTACTTGCAAAAGAATGAATTAGAACATTCTCTAACACCATATACAAAAATAAACTCAAAATGGATTAAAGACTTAAGTGTAAGACTGGATACTATAAAACTCCTAGAGGAAAACATAGGCAGAACACTCTTTGACATAAATTACAGCAATATTTTTTTGGATCTATCTCCTAGAGTAATGGAAACATAAGCAAAAATAAACAAATGGGACCTAGTTAACTTAAAAGATTTTTCACAGCAAAGGAAACCATAAACAAAACAAAAAGACAACCTACAGACTGGGAGGAAATATTTGCAAATGATGTGACTGACAGGGGATTAATTTCCAATATATACAAACAGCTCAAACAGCTCAACATAAAAAAAAACAAACAACCCAATCAAAAAATGGGCAGAAGATCTAAATAGACATTTCTCCAAAGAAGACATACAGATGGCCAACAGGCACATGAAAAGATGCTCAACATCACTAACAATCAGAGAAATGCAAATCAAAACTACAATGAGGTATCACCTCACACCAGTTAGAACGGCCATCATCAAAAAGTCTACAAATAATAAATGATGGAGAGGGTGTGGAGAAAAATTTACATTCCGCTGTTGGTAGGAATGTAAATTGGTGCAGCCACTATGGAGAACAGTACGGATGTTCCTTTAAAAACTAAAAATAGAGTTACCATATGATCCAGCAATCCGACTCCTGGGCATATATCCAGAAAAGACAAAAACTAATTCGGAAAGACTCCTGCACCCCAGTGTTTATAGCAGCACTATTTACAATAGACAAGACATGGAAACAACCTAAATGTCCATCAACAGATGAATGGATAAAGAAGATGTGGTATGTGTATATATATACGTACATACATACACACACACACATATATGCAATTACTCGGCCATGAAAAGAATGAAATAATGCCATTTGCAACAACATGGATGGACCTAGAGATTATCATACTAAGTGAAGTAAGTCAGTCAGAGAAAGACAAATATATGATATCACTTATATGTGGAATCTAAAAAAATGATACATATGAACTTACTTACAAAACAGAAATAGACTCACAGACATAGAAGACAAACTTACGGTTACCAAAGCGAAAGGGGGTAGAGAGATACATTGGGAATTTGGAATTAACAGATATATAGATAAACAATAGCACAGGGAACTATATCCAATACCTTGTAATAACCTATAATGGAAAAGTATACATATATATATATATATATATATATGAATCACTTTGCTGTATATCTGAAACATTGTAAACAACTATACTTCAATTTTTAAAAATGAGCAAAAGACACCTTTTATCAGAGAAGATATATGGATGGCAGATACTCACATGAAAAGATGCTCAATATCATCGGTCATTAGGAAGATGCAAATTAAAATCTCGACAGGACACCACGACATATCTACTAATGGCCAGAATTTAAATGACAGCACTATTAAGTGTTGGTGAGGATGAGAATGGCTGGGGATCTCAAATGCTGCCAAAGTGTTTCCCAAAGTGGCCTGTTCCATTTTGCATTCCCATACCAAGACCTGCACACAATTTCACAGCAGCTCTGGTCATGCTACCCTCCAAACTGGAGACAACCAAATGTTGATATATGCACATGAGGGACTACTACTCAGCAACTGATCTTGTAACATCAGGCTGACTCTCAAAGCACTGTGCAAAGTGAAAAAAAACCTAGACAAGAAAAGCTACGTATTGTGTGATCCTGTTTATATGACATTCTAGAAATGACCAAACTATAGGAACAGAAAGCAGATCAGGGTTTGCTGGGGGCTGGAGGTGGGAAGAGGTACTGACTTCTGGGATGCAGGAAATAGCTGATATCTTGAGTGTATGATGGCTACTTGCGTCTGTCCATTTGCTGAACTGAACTGTGCTCTGAAAAAGGATAACTTTTTACATAACACTAATAATTTACATAATAAATTTGTACATAAATTATCCTCAATAAACCAAACTTTTAAAAGTTACTCACTTTCTTTTTTAGGAAGTAGAAGCCTTATAAATACCTAGAATTTGACAATAACAGTAACAATGAGACATCCAACTTTTATGACACAAATCTGAACACTCAGTAAAACATGCATGGGGGAAAAGACACCAGAAAGCTAGTTAATCAACTGTCATTGTCACAAAGGAGAAAGACTGTGTATTTTAAATCTTTATCTCTGTTTCTCTAATTTCCTGTAATGTGATCACTTACCCTTGATAAAAATTATTTTTAAAAAAGACACACTTAGGAATCCACTGGCGGTCCAGTTGTCCAGGACTCGGCACTTTCACTGCTGTGGCCCAGGTTCAATCCTTGATCAGGGAACTAAGATCCCGCAAGCCCCACAGCATGGCCAAAAATTTAAAAAATAATAAAATTAAAAAGACACTCTTTAAAAATGTCCTCCATAGAGAACAAACTGGTGGTTGCCAAGGGGGAGGGGGTTGGGGAAGGGATGGAGTAGGAGGCTGGGGTTAGCAGATATAAGTTTTTATATATAGGATGGATAAACAACAAGGTCCTACTGTAGAGCACAGGGAACTAGAGTCAATATCCTATGATAAACCTTAATGGAAAAGACTATTTAAAAAATGCTTATATATGTAAAACTGAATCACTTTGCTGTACAGCAGAAATTAATACAACATTGTAAATCAACTGTACTTCAATTAACAAGTTGATTAAAAAGAGTCCTTGATTAACAGACACCAGTGGAAAATAAACAGAACGAAAAGAACTGGCAGAATCTAGAATATGTCTGAAGCTCGGCCCAATCCATCTGAGGATTAAGAGGGAACCTGTTACAGGATCTCAAGGCGATGAAGCTGACAAATTAACAGCCAGCAGAGGTGCTGAGCCCTGCCTGTACCACACGTATCCTGTCAGGAAGTATGCCAGAGGCAGATACCAGGGCACAAGGGGACCTGTCTGTGTCCCTATCCCTGAGAGGGTGTAAATTCTAGGCAGGGTAGCCCCACAGTATAGTAGGTATTTTCTGGCTTGTTCTGAGACGTTTCACGTGGAAATGACCCATTTGCTTTGAATGTATGACTTTCAGTGTTTGCTGCAGCCTCAACATGATTCTTCACCTGTGGTTGGGACGCACTCCTGATATGACTTTGTCACTAACTATGAAGATTCCGTAGGAGCTGCTGTCTTTCAAGTCTTGGTGTGGCGGGGACCCACAATAATAGAATATGATTGCTTAGACACACACACACACACACAAAACAGACACACACAGGAAGTGCTAGACAACGGGGGGGGGGTCCCTGTGGGGGGCACAGGCCATAAGACTCCCAGCTTCAACCTTACTCAAGGTCGACGTTGGGCAGGAGGGAAAAGCTGCCCACAGGCCGAGGCCTCTCCCGCACCAACCACAGGGCAGCATTGAGGGGGCAGACACGGCGGGAGTGGGCAGGCCAGCAGCCCCGGGGACAGGGCAGAGAGGAGCCCGACCCTACAGCCCTGAGCCCACCCGGTTCCTCCACCTGCATGTTTAAAGGGAAAGCAGATGTTTAGCCGGACTTTGCCAGGATAATTCCATGATTCTCCCTTTGGCTTTCTCTCATCGACTCAGGGAAATGAAGGAAATGAGTATTTTTAATCCAGCATTACCCATGTAAAATGACTTGTTGTAAAAACAATCAGTCCCTCCGGTTTTGTTTTTCTGAGGTCGAGTCGAGCTATGATGTGCTCCCTCCAGAACCGGCTTCCACATCTGGGCCCCAAGCACCCTGGAGGTTTGGGGAATTCACGCAGTGCTGTGTCTGGAAGCCTCTGTCTCCAGCACCCCACCCAGGCTACACGTCCAGCCCTCGCTAGAAGTGAGAGGGGAACGCGAGGGGGGCCTCTTCCTTCCCTTTTCAGGGAGATTAAAGCAGGATTTCGGTTGGAACTCAGCCCTTGGCAGAACAATAGAGAAGGGATGAAGTTTCTGCACACAGGTGGTGAAACTGCAAATCAAAGGGACACCTTTATCTCCCCAAGATAAATACCCCTTTTTCTTTCTCTCTCTCTCACTGTTTCTCCTTAATCCTCCCAGGAAATCTGAGCGTGAAAGCTTTACTGCTCCTGGTGCCACGGAAAGTTTGAAAGGATTTAAGAAACACTGAAATCTGGGTGAACAATAAGGGTGGCTTCAGGACGGAAGCTGGGGCCGAAGGGCTGCGCGGCTGCAGGTGTGCCCCTTTGTCCCAGGAGAGCCGAGGATGGGCGCTCCGTGCTCACCTGTGAGGAGCTGGGCGTGGAGTCCACTCCGCACCCACCTCCGCATTCCCACACTTGTCACGAGCTCTCCCCGCTCGCCCAGAGCCCCCTTTGGTCCTGAGCCACCTGGCCCACCGCCATGGCAACCAGAAGGGCCGCCTGTACCTGAGTGCCTCTTGGATGGTCTTGTGAGCCTCGTTGCGGTGCTTCATGCCCAGCAGGCTGGCGGCCCACTGCTGCAGGATGCGCTTTTTCTCCACGTTGATGGCATCTATTTCCGTGCAGGCCTGCAGTGGAGAGTTGAGGTTACTTGGATGTTGGTCTTATGTCATTAAGTTCAGAGCCCCAAAAGGATGTCGGAGAGCCCCAAGCTTCCTGAATCATCTTCCTTCTCTGTTACCCATGCTTTTCTTTATCTGCATCAGCAGAAGGACACATGTGAAATTAAACATGGCTCTAAAGACCTGTCTAACACCTGCCTGAGCCTTGAGCCCCAGCTGTGACACGGGAACAGTAACAGTACCCACATCCTGCGGCCGTCGGATCAGAGGGGATGGTGCCTGTATGCCCAGCACATTCTTAGCTCGATCACAATTGCTGTGTCACGTGGTGCTCAGAATGTCCTGATGGGTCATTTCAGTGGAATCATTGCACCGTTAGCAAGTTGGCCTCGTGCTGATTCCCGGAAGGGGCGCTGAATGGGAGCTTGGGTGAGACCCCCATTAGGCCACGAGCATCTTTGTGGAGGTGCTGAGTCCCAGCAGCGTCTGCTCTTGGTGGATGTGCATGGTAGATGCTGGAGGAAGTCAGAGTGGCCTTGAACACTCAAAGGTACAATAAAAGGGTGGAGCTGGACGTGAAAGGAGGCGTCACCCCTGGGGATCCCACTCTCAGGTGTCAGGGCTTTAAAAAATCATCTATTCATTATTATTATTATAGAGCATAAAGTGGTATGAATTAATTATACCATGACTGGTGAGACATTTCCAGATTTGGGTAAGTTATTAACTGAGGAGGTTGCTCTGTGCCGTGGAGTAGGTTGTGCACTGCCCAACAGTGCCCGGCCGAGGCAGTAGGTACCAAAACCACTGGGCTCCTCCCCAGGCTGGGCTGTGTGGGGCTGGTCAGCCAGAGGCAGGTGCCCCCCGAGTCCCCAAGGCTGCCGGACGAAGGCTTGCTGACCAAGGTACAGGCTGAGATGCAAAAATCGAGGCTGAATTCAGCCTTTAAATGTTTTAAACACACTTCTCATTTAAAAAAGTGTTTATTCTACTCAAATTAGAATATGGAAATAAGCAAAAAGAAAATAAAAAGAATCCCACAACTTAGAGTTTACCATTTCTAACACCCTGGTGTTATCTTCCTGTGTGTGTGTTGTGTGTGTGTGTGTGTGTGTGTGTGTGTGTGTGTGTGTGTGTGTGTGTAAGCAATCATATCCTATTATTGTTTTGTAACTTAGTATTAAAAAGTAGCAGGACTTCCCTGGTGGTCCAGCGGTTACGACTCTGCGCTCCCAGTGCAGGGGGCCAGGGTTCAATCCCTGGTCAGGGAACTAGATCCTACGTGCATGCCACAACTAAGAGCCCACAAGCCGCAACTAAGAGTTTGCATGCCACAACTAAGATCCCATGTGCTGCAACTAAGACCCGATGCAGCCAAATAAATAAATATTAAAAATGAAAATAAAAAGTAGCATATTGTGAATGGGTTTCCATGCCAGCAAATATTTATTTTATTGGTGGGATTGTCCTCCACTGCATGGATATATCATAATTTGTTTAACCAATATCCTCTTCTTGGGACTTTCTTGGTTATCACACACAGCACTGTGTCCCCAGTGACTCTCTATTCATTTTGTTCGTGAAGTATGTAATGTATACAGAAATTTTATTTGCATGCCTATTTTCCCTGGAATGAAGTCCAAAAAGTGACATTTTGGGAGAGCTTGCTGGGGAGCAGGGTGGGTGTCCCTGACATGCAGTACAGTATTGCCCTTGAATAAGGATCTTGATGAAGACAGACTGCACCCCCACCATCAGTGTGGGAGCCCCGATTCCCCTGCCTTGTTCATCTTTGCCAACTTGGTGGCAGAACCCCTGTCCCGCCCTCATCTGTCGTCAATGTCTGTGTCGCACCTGCCATGGGCCCCCCTGTTCTGGGTGCAGGGTGAACAAACGTGGGACGGCCCTGCCCCGATGGCACACAGCCAGCAGGGAGGGGCGGGAGGCAAAAAAGACATAATGAAAGAGAACTACAGCATCGTGTGTGTGTACACAATCATCACAGAGCAGAATCGCACACGGCAGATTCTGAATCGATTTTCAAAATCTCTTTATACCACCAAACTTACTGGTGTTATGCTTGGAAAGGCCTCTCCAATCCAGGGCTTTATAAATATTTCTCATTTTCTTTCTTCTGGTACAGTTTCCCTTGTTTCAATCCTTGAGCCCATGTGGAATTTATTTTAGTGTGTGGTATGAGGAAAAGATTTGATTTTTTTCCCCAAATGATTAACCAAATGTCCCAACACCACTGGGTGCATAATTCACTTGCTCTCCATTAATTTATAATCCATGAAATTTCTATATAAACGTTTCCTTGATTCTGAGCTCTCTCACAGGCTCCCACAGCCTACCTGTCGGTCCCTGACTCCAGTAATTCATTATTTTAGCCTCTAGGGCTTTATAGTATTTAATGCTAGGTGGACCCACCATCCCGGTTTGTCCTGGACTCCCCTGGTTCTAGCCCAGAAAGTCCCACGTCTCGGGAAATGTGTCATTTCTGGGCAAACTGGGACCGTGGGCCAGCCTTCATGAACCTTCCCCCCTGGACAATTCTCTGCTAGTCCTCTGAATTTACTTTTCAGATAAAATTAAGAATCACTTTGCTAACTAAGAAGTTTTTTCCCCCCTGAGGTTCTGATGGGAGCACATTCTAGATTAAGTATATTCATAGGTTGGCAAGCACTGGGTGCTTTCCCATGTGGACCCAGGTGTGTTTGTTCGTTTGTTCAAGCCCATCTGTCTCTCCTTCAATAAAAGTGTGTTGTTTCCTTTGTGTCATCACTGCACGTATGAATGCAGATGGTGACTCACAGATTAAAAAAAAAAAGGTCACAGCCACTTTGCTTTCCAGTGCTGGCCACTGAACTGGGAGCTGCACTGAACCCGGGCCCTCCCTTACTCCACACGGGAAGGGAGATGTGGGCACTGCCCTGGAGCACTGCCTGCCCAGGCTGAGAATGGGTAGGGAGACTTCAGCCCTCTCCGAAAGAGGCCTGAAGGAACTTGCTAAGGATGCCTCAGCAAGCAGGACAGAATGTCCCATCTCCTGAGGGGCCTTTCAGTCTATCCCTGGCTACAGTGGGAATAAGAATACTGGCCACCAGTCAGCTGATATCTACTGCGTCCCCAACGTGGGTCAGCCAGATGCTCTGAGACGCTTATGAGGACAGACAGATGTGCAGGAGGCTGGCCGGCTAACTGGGGGCTCAGTCAGTCTCCTTGCAGGCATGCAGGCACTGCCTGGGCGCTGTCAGATGGCACCTGTGCCACTGAGCGCTTACCTCGCTCACTGCCTTCCTGAGCGTCCGGGTGTCCTCAGCCTGCGCGCGGTACTGGGCCTCGAACAGGGCAATCTGTTCTTCCAGCTGGTTGGCTCGGGTGGTCAGCTGGTCCACGTGCAGGTCCTGGAAGGGAGGGGACGAGATGCACAGTGAGATGGGTCCCCAGCAACCTCAACCCATGTCAGCAACCCCATGCTGGGCATGGCCCCCAGGGCTGCGGTATTCACGCAGGGGCAGGGCTGATCAGATCAGGAAATCAAAGATGTGGCAAACAGTCACACGGGCATCATCTTTGCAGAACACCTGCTGCTTCTTCTCCAACTCGGCCCGCATGCGCTCGGCTTCTGACTTCTTCACGACTCGCTTCATCAACCGGATGTCGTCACGCACATCCTGGTCTATGTTCTGCATGTAGAAGAGATGCAGAGCCAGGGTCTCCACCTCGGTTTGCAGAGCTGCCACTGGGGAGAGAGGGGGAGGGTGTCCCAGCATCGCACACCAGACATCGTGGAAGTAGCACCCCTCCCCACACTGTGGGGTGGGTCTGGGAAACAGCCTTTAAACTACAAAGACCCATACCTTTGCCATCAAAGACTTTACAGTCTAGTTGGAGAGATGAAATATACGTAATCTATGCCCGCCAACTGCAATAAGCCCTCCATTCCCACCACATATTAGAGATTCTCCGTGTCTAAGGATGTTCTGAAACAGTGTCAAGGTTAGGAAGCCTTATGTGAATTTTACAGATTTCTTACCACTTAGAGGTTGGCAATCTCAGGTACAGTCCTAAATCCCCTGGGAGGAAACCAGCCTGAAGGGTGGGCTGAGCACTACTGAAGCATGGGTTTCTTGGAACGAAACCCACATGAGATTGATTTATAAGGTAGAACACCAGTTTATTTAGGGAGATAGACTTCAACCAGTAATTGTTGGCTCACTTGTGTAGAGCATTCCTTATTCCGTGGGTAGATCTAAACAGAAAATCGATTTATAGATCAAAAGGCTGCTGGGTGAATATCATGTTGGAGTTAGGTGTTTTTGAAGGATGAACTTAAACTTGAAAAATAATTTGTTTTTTTTTTACATCTAAGATGACTGTAAAAACTCTAACACTAGAGAATTCTTCGGCTCCTGTGTGGCTAAGAGTTGTAGGGGAGGGGAATGGAGCAAATGCAGGGAAACGAGGGGGGAGGTTTTGTAGAAAGAGTGGTTGCCGGGTGGACTGGGGTGGAGGTGTATTTTGGGAGAGGGTCTTTAAAGAGGTAATTAAGATAAAATGAGGTCACTAGGGTGGGCCCTAACAACTGGTGTCTTTATGAGAAGAGTAGGTTAGGACACAGACGCACAGAGGATGACTTTGTGAGGACACAAGGAGAAGACAGCTGTCTACAAGCCCAGGAGATTGGCCTCAGGAGGAAACACCCTGCCAACACCTTATCCTGGACATCTGGCCTCCAGAATGACAAGAAGACAAACTTCTGTTCTTCAAGCTGCCCAGTCTGTGGCCCTTTTCTATGGCAGAGGGCGCCAACTAACCCACCCCCACCTGAATCAGAAAGCTTGCCCACCCATCCTTCAGGGCACTCACTTCTGCCCCTCTATCCTTTCCTGGCTGAGTGACTGAGAGTCAATATTTCAAATATTCTTTTTAATTTGTATTCTTTCAACATTAGTGAAATCAAGTCTGTTTTCACAGTTTGAAGACCAGCTGTCCTTTTCCTTCTCCGACTTGCCCGCTCATATCATTGGCCCTTCTACGGGTGGGATAGTCGTCTTTTACCTATTAGGCTTCAAAGGGCCCTTCACGTAATAAAAACAGGGTGGCTAGAGTCTCAAATGCCTCCCATGACCTCTGCCCCCAGTGTCACTCTTGTGATTGTGTTTTGTGGCAAAAAGGGAAATGATCAGGTGGGCCTGACCTGAGCAGTTGAGCACTCTAGAAGCAGAGTTTTCTTGACCTGGTGTCAGAAGAGGAAGCCAGAGAGATTTGCAGGGTCAACGGGATTTGTTTAGTGTGAAATAGGAGTCTAAGTGTTTATTTTCAGGTGGTCAAATGATCAAAAATATTTAGTGATTTAAAAATACAACCTGTGCTTTCAATTTGCAGTAAATAGCTAAATTCCTGAGTAAATTTCCTGGAACTCCCTACTCCGCACTATTGATCTGTTTGCCCATTTTTTCTCTAGTGCCATTTTGTTTCTATTGCTGTAGATTGATACCGTGTTTTGATACCTGACAGGACAATTTCCCTTCATTATCCTTCCTTTTCACCATTTTCTTGGATATTCTTGTGCATTTAGTGTTCCGAGTGAACTTGGAACTTGAAAATCATTGGAGAGCTTTTTAGGTATTGCACGCATGCATTGATAAGGGAAAAAAAGCAAGGAACAGAGCATTGGGTATAATATGCAGCTACTTGTGTAAAAAATATAGAAAAAAATACCACAACTCTTGTAGCTTTGCTTTTATATGCAAAAACATCTTTAAAAGAATACACAAGAATCAATAATACCATGTGCCTCTGTGGAGGTGGCTGGAGGCTGGGGTTGGGGAGACTCCAGAGTGCCTTAATTTTGTATTATTACTTCTTGAAAATAATAACTGTGTTAAATAAATTCAAGTTCACCCAAAACATCCCATCGTGGATTTTAACTGGACTTGCATTGAACTACTTATTAATTTGGAGAGAAATGACATTTGTTTCCTCTCATTTGGTTACATGATTGTTCCATTTATTTAAATCCGCGTTATGTCCTTTAGTAAAATTTTATCGTTTTTCCTCAGATAGGTTCACTTGCTTCTTGTTAGACTTACTCCTCAGTATTTTATGGTTGTTATAGCTATTATGGATGAGGTTTTAAAAAATTATAATTCATAATTGGATATGACTGGTAGAAAAGAAAATTATAGCTCTGGTATTCAGTTACTTTATAGATTTCTTACTGTTTTTTTTAGCTTTTCATCAGTGATCTTGAATCTGCTAGGTAAACAATCACACCATTGGTGGAGAATGAGTTCCATGACTTCATATCCAGAATCTATACTTCGTTTATTTTTCCTGTTTTCTTTCATGGCTGGAACTTCCAAAACAATGCATCCTCGTCTCAATCCTTAACTATGATTACTACAGGGCTTTCCTCTGAGTAAAACTGCCTTGTTAGTTGCTGATAAATACTTACAATGAACTTTCCTTCTATCCTAGTTTAGGATTGACAATGAGTTTTATCCAAACACCCATTTGACATCCACCCAGAAAATCTATTTGTTCTCTCTCCTTTAAGAATATAATGCAATGAATCAGTAGATTTCCTAATTTCAAATTATTCCAGAATTAAGCCCTCTTGACTAGGAGGTATTTTTCTTTTCATATATTGCTGAACTTAATCTTTTGTTGCTGAGTAAAAATTTAATATTTGCTAATATTTTATTTAGGATTTTTACACCTCATAAGTAGGAACACTTTATAATTTTCTGTTTTTGCACGTTGTAAGCTTCTCCAGTAAGGATTATACTGAACATTGTAAAATAAGCCTGGGGTGGGGTGTGTGGGGCGGGGGGAGGCGTGGTGTCCCTGGTGGTGCAGTGGTTAAGAATCTGCCTGCCAATGCAGGGGACACGGGTTCAAGCCCTGGTCTGGGATGATCCCACATGCTGCAGAGCAACTAAGCCCGTGGGTCACAACTGCTGGGCCTGTGCTCTACAGCCCGCGAGCCACAGCTACTGAGCCCACGTGCCACAACTGTTGAAGCCTATGCACCTAGAGCTGGTGCTCCGCAACAAGAGAAGCCACCACAATGAGAAGCCCGTGCACCGCAACAAAGAATAGCCCCTGCTCACTGCAACTAAAGAAAGCCCATGCACAGCAAAGACCCAATGCAGCCAAAAAAAAAAAAAAGCCTGGGAAGAGTTTCCCAAATTTTCCACCCACTTGTGGGTTAAATAACATAGGAAGTGTCTGGTTTGGTCCTGTCTGTAATCCTATGGCATTTTTTCCCTTTACCTTTGGAATTTAAAAATTTCACCAACTATGTCTAGGCATGTTTATTTTTTCTTCCACCCATCTGGCCCTCCATGAGACTTTACATCTGAAGATTCATCTTTCTTGAACTCATGCAAATGTTTTCCTCTGATGTCACTGGTTAATGCCCCTAATCTCCTGGAATTTCTATCTCATGGATACTGACTTTACCAGACCTACAGTCCATGTCTTTTATCTCCTTCTCAAAACGTCCATCACTTTGAGTTTTTGCTTTGAATTCTGGGCAGAATTCCTCAAACTGGCCTTTTAGACACAAGTTCAATTGTTCAATTTCCAGCAGTGCTGATTTGCCTATTTAGTACTTCTGGCGGGGTGTGGGGGGTGATTCTATATTTTAATTCCGAGTATCCTTTTCCCTAATAGTTGGTTCTCATTTGACTGATGCGATGTCCTCTAAAATCTCACGTCGAACACCAGCTGGCGTATGCTATGTTTTCGGAACCCGGTCTGTGTCTGTGGAGGCGTCTGCTCTCCTGTCTGGGGATTGCCACTGATGACTCACATTTGGATGTGAAGGTTTACTGACTGGTGGGCTCCACCCCCCTCCTAAGTGAGGAGGTCAACTGTGGACATTCTCCAGAGGCCAAGCCCCACGTTTCACCTATGGGACAGTGCAGTGGCGGCACCTGGTAGGCAGGGCTGGGACCGCCACCCGAGTTCTTTAGTCTGAAGAGGGGAGAAAAGGTGCCGTTAGGTGGGTCCTTGCTTGGTTAAACAGCTTCTGCTCCTGCTACCTGGTGACTTCCAGAAAGGACAGAGTGTCCACGAAGATGACTGGATCTTTCCAGAAGCCCATCCATACCTCGAGGATCTGATGAGGGGTGTTGGTGGGCACTCACTTCTCCTGCGTGGAGGGGGTGGGGGACCTGTGTCCTCTTTCAGACTGGTCTAAATTCTGTTATATCCGGAGGATGTGGCTCCATTGTTTTAGTGTGAATGTCGTGCTCTTCTCTTTTTGGTAGATTCTGTTAATTTGGTGATACTCAGGGAGGGGTGCTCTTCCCCAACTCTGTCCAGAAAACTCTCCTGCATTTCTCAGGGTCCAAAATGCTTCTTTCCATCCACAGTTGGGATATACGTGTGATTTTTGTTCCTCCCAAATTCTTCTAGGTTATTTTCCCCATTATTATAGTAATACAGAGTTGATAAAGAAAGTTGGAAACATGAAAAAGCACAACAACTGAAATCGCCTGCTGTGACCACGCTGTTCACTGTGGCCCACGACCTCCGCTCCGTGCAGAGCTGTTGCTTTGGTAGGAACAGTGCACGGTGATTAGTCGCACCCTCACTGTCTCTTCTGCTCCAAAGCCACCTATTCCCCGTAATCTGCCACACATCGTGGGGCTGCAGGGCTCTGGACCATGGGCTCCTGTGCTTTGGATTGGCCTCACCTGTACCTCCCCACCTATTTAAACTCTGCCCATCCCCGCTCTTCCCTGCCTTCTAGATACCCCATCTTCAACCCCAGCAGCCCACCAGCCTCTCCAGCATTTTTTAAATTAATTAATTAATTAATTTTTGGCTGCATTGGGTCTTTGTTGCTGCGCACGGGCTTCTCACTGCGGTGGCTTCTCTTGCTGCGGAGCACAGGCTCTAGGCGCACGAGCTTCAGTAGTTGTGGCTCACGGGCTCCAGAGCACATGCTCAGCAGTTGTGGCGCACGGGCTTAGTTGCTCCTCGGCATGTGGGATCTTCCCGGACCAGGGATCGAACCTGTGTCCCCTGCATTGGCAGACGGATTCTTAACCACTGCGCCACCAGGGAAGCCCGCCTTTCCCGCTTTTGACTCCAAATACCCCACCTGCCGGCTTTCAGTGTTTGCTACTTTGCCTAATTAGGTGCATTTTAAGACATTTATGTTTTCCTTCCCCCAAAAGTTTGGGAACCCCTCCAGTACGGGAACACAGCTTGCCTTTCATGAAGTCCTGCGATGGCATGTGGGGACACCCCTCGGGGTCATGATGGCACGTGGGAACACCCCACCAGGTTGCAATGGCATTCAGGGATACGAAGGCATGTGAGGATGCCCCTTGGGGTGTCTATGGCACGCGGGGCCGCGCCACGGGGACGCCTGCGAGGACACGGGGCCGCCTTACGCTTCTTGCGCTCCTCGCCGGCGGTCTCGCAGGTCCTGGCGTAGCGCAGGCGCACGCTCTGCAGCTCCTCCTCCTTCCTCCGCCTCTCGCACGCTGTGATCGAGTGGCGGTCGTGGCTCTTCTCGAGCTGCATCTGCAGGCGGGCCAGGTGCTGCTGGACCCCGTAAAGGTCCACCCCCAGCTCCTGCCTCTGGATTCGGCTTTGCTTGGTGGCCACGCCCTGCACCAGAGAGAGAAGCTGGGTCATGGAGATGCGGGTGCACAGCCAGGTGGAAAGCGGGACAGGTACGCACCAGCTCTTGAAGTTCCAGCCTCAGTTTCTCTATTTGCCGGTTAAGATAGTTCTTCAGGGCAGCCTGGAATCTTATCATCAGGGGCTAAAACAGTGGAAGAGCACAGCCGGTTACTGTGCTGTCCCCTCCAGGGCTTAGCCTGAATTACCACAACTCTTGGCAGGGGACGGCAGAAATGACCTCCACGCTGGGTGCTCCCCACTTCTGCCCAGGATTCTTATTCCAGAAACCACAAATTCAAGGCACTTGTGGTCTCACCCTAGGCACTGAAGGACCTGAGTGCAAAATGACAGGGTGGGCTGGGGCAGTGGTCCTGGTTTAATCCCTGGGGCCAGAGGGCAGTGATGAGCAGTGCCTGGGATGCCAGCACCAAATGAACTCTCAGCCCCTTTTCCCAGTGCAGCCCTGATCCTTCCCGTGGTACCGGGAGCACCAAGTCTTTCCAAAGAGGTTCATCCAACCAAGACCTGCCCTCCCCGCTTGCCAGAGGGGTGGGACACTCAAGGCAGTGGCTATCAGCGGGCGTGATTTTGCGCCCACCCAATACCCAGTCTGGAGACATTTCTGGCCGCCACAACTAAGGGGGTGCTACTGGCATTTAGTGGGTGGAGGCCCCAGGGACGCTGCTCAGCATCCTACAGTGCCCAGGAAGCCCCCACCACAAAGAGTGATCCGGCCCCAAACGTCTATAGTGTGGAGGCTGGGAAATGCTGACTCTGAGTGAATGAACTTAAAGGGAGAATAAACTTTACAAGGTGGCAGCTCAAACCCTGCAGGTAATCCATTCAGGGAGCAGGTGAGACCTGAGTGTGGCATTTGCCGGGTGGAGGGTGGGCCGTGGAGGCTCGGGGCAGGGCAGGGCCTACAGGGCAGGTGTAGGAGTGTCTCTAAGTCCATCTTCGTCTGCATGGGGCAAAAGCAAAACTCCAGAATGTTTCCTTACATGGTTTGGGTCCAAAACCACCAGCTGTGATCTGTCTTCTTCGGCCTCGTCGCTGGCCTCAGACTCCACACTCTCCACCAGGCTTCCTTCCTCGGCCATGCTTAACTGCTGGGTCCTGTCCAGGAATGAGGATGTGGCTCCTTCCCCGGGGTGGGCATCAGGCTCTGGGGGGACGAGTAGTGGGGAACAACAAACATCACTGAGGAGTTAATAGAGAGAGTGCTTCTCTGGAGGAATTATCAGGCAAAGCTGACGCCCAGTTTCGTGCAACATGATGGAAAAAAGAAACAAAAGGCACCCCTTTGGGTTAGGGTTCACAAGTGCTATTCACAGGGTCTTCTGCTCATGAATTTTCTACTAGCTGATTCAACACATTCTGTAGAAAGGATTGCACTTTAAAGGTAGACAAGAAGGAAACACATTTTGTTGATACTTTTTAATCCATAAATAGTGAACAGAAAGGTGGCTTCTTAATGATGGACTAGATTTTTTTTTAATGGAAAACAGATATAATTGAAAAGAAATCAGTGAGGCTCTAGTTTCAACTTCTCTCCCTTCCTGAGCTGCAGAGATCCTGTTCTGTTTGTAACTCCTTTAGATGTGTGCTGTCTGCCTGCTGCTTGTGAGCGACGTGAGGCTTGTTAGCTGGACCATCCACACACACCCATCACATGGAAGATAAAAAAACCCAATCTGCTTTCCCACGTACTCAACACTGGGATACCGGAGCCAAGTGGAAAGATAAGGGTGTACCGGGAAAGCCTTGGAAAGTCAGCAAACAGACACATGTTTAGGGGTGAGCTTACACGGTTGGGTTACTTAATGACGCTTAGGGTCTCTAAAATGGAGAACAGTGCCTACCTCACTGGGTTAGGGTAAGGATTAAATGAGATAAAACAGAAAAATGCTCCACATGTGTTATCCATATCTGTTAATGATATTTCTATCTTTTGGCTCACAGCGCAACAGGAAACAAGGTAACAGGTGGTGAATGAGTGGCAGCCCTCGCGTAGAAGGGCGTGTGAAGGGGCTTGTCCCACAATACCTGGCTCCTGTGTGGAGGGGCCCTCGGTAACCAGAGGCGGCTCGTCAAAGTCCAGGGATGTGTTGCTGCTCCCCCGGCTCTGTCCGAGGCAGTGCTGAGCCCCCAGAGGAAAGACCTTCTGCCGGAGCGCTCCCTGGGATTGATTTTAGAGCAAAAACAACCAAATCTGAATTTATGAGGGTTTAGTCAGGACAAAGGAGTTAATTCATTACAGTGTTCAATTCAACATAGTTGTGGACTTCCCTGGTGGCGCAGTGGTTAAGAATCCACCTGCCATTGCAGGGGACACGGATTCGAACCCTGGTCTGGGAAGATCCCACGTGCCGCGGAGCAACTAAGCCCACGCGCCACAACTACTGAAGCCCGCGCGCCTAGAGCCCATGCTCCACAACAAGAGAAGCCACGGCAATGAGAAGTCCACGCACCACAATGAAAAGTTGCCCCGCTCACTGCAACTAGAGAAAGCCCACGTGCAGCAACAAAGACCCAACGCAGCCATAAATAAATAAGTAAATAAATAAATTTATTTTAAAAAATAGAATATTGTTTGCATAACATTTGGCTTTTGCAAATGGTCAAAACAGAAAACACCTACCGCCACTCCCATGAGGAATCGGGAGTGGTCTCTTTCCGTCTAGATCTGTAGCAAAGTGTGAACGCGGAGGCATGGGCGTGTGCTGGACGTGGGTTCCTTTACTCCCAAATGCTGCTCTCTCCAAGGATGGTAAGAAACACCTCTGAGCATCCTCTTTATAAAGGGATGCTGGAAAGCCTGAGCCCTGGCCAGGGTCTCCCAAGAGGGCTGTTTCTTCTCTTCTTTCAAACTATTTCACTTTAGGGACATTTCCATATGAAAAGGTTTTCCCTCAATAGAAGCACCTGGCTCCATTTTAGCTCTAAAGGGGACTCTTGTGATGATTATTGTTGACAGTAATTACTGCTGCTGATGAATAGGTGAATATTAGTAACAACAGACAATGACCCTGCACAAGACCCTGCAAGGTGGATGCCAGTCATTTCTGTCATCTGTAGGGGAAGCAGCTCACAGAAGCTGAAGCCCTTGTCTAAGTTCGCACAGCCAGCCAAGGGTCATCTCAACGCCCAGCTCCTGTTCTTTCTAATTGTACTTCCTCAGGTGATGCTGCTTCTAGAAATGATTTCTGAGGCATCCAGAACCACAATGACATTAATGGGGGCCCAGAGTCCAAAGCCCACCTCTGGGGTGTCCAGAAAGGGCTTCTCCTAATGAGACGTCAATGAGGTGTCAGAACACCCCAATGACACAGCAGCTTCTACTCCACGATTAAGTTACTTCTTAAGACTGAGCGCTGAGAGGAGAGAAGTAGGGTTCTCTCTTTGGGCTTGTCTATGCCCTTCTGGCTGATCAAATTTGGAGACTGTTTCTTCATGAGTTTTCTAGAAACTAGATTCGAGGATGGAAATTGGTTTTACAGCTCAACAAGTGATCTGTACTTCAACACTCCTGGCTATCTTTTATTTATTTACTTTTTGGTCATGACTCACGGCTTGTGGGATCTTAGTTCCCCGACCAGGGATTGAACCTGGGCCCTTGGCAATGAAAGAGCAGAGTCCTAACCACTGGACTGCCTGGGAATTCCCAGTCCTGGCTTTCTTAGAAAGGAGGGCACTGTTTTGTTGTGTTAAATTCTTAAAAGTGGTTTTGATCATGTACTTATCATTTGTAATTATAAAGCTTAATTGGGGGTCATCGAATATTGAATTGCGTCATTCTCTAAAGTTATTAACTCTTCTAGGTTTCACAGGGTGGGGAGGGATTGTCACTTCACTGTTCAGAGCCAGAGTGACCGTTTGCCATCACAGCTGCATGCCTCTGGGCAAGGAAGTCCCTTGGCCCCTCAGTTTCCTCACCTGAACTATGAGGATAATAATAGTTACCACCCCACAGGGTTGTTGTCAGGATTCACTGAAACAACACATGTCAAAGGCATTGAAGTGTCCAGCCCAGAGTCCATGATGGAGAAACGTTACACGTTCTTTTCCTGCCCCGCCCTGCCCCTCACTTCCCTTCTAGAACAATCAAACCTAAGCCAACAGGTTGGCTTGGTCCAGTGTGGGGTGATGAGCCTGGACAAGGTGAGGAGAGCAGGTTCCAGAGACTGTCCCCGAGGTGGGTCATGATAGCACAGGTGTCAGGCCTGGGCCTGCTGAGGAGGGCTCCCGGTGTGGAGAGTCACAGCCCAAACAACTGGGGCCTGGCCTGGGTGGGGTTGGCCCAACAAGGTGATGAGGGTGTCCACAGTCTGGGTGGCCCAGTGAGGGTGTATGTCTGAGCCTGAGTGGGGTGAGGAGTGTCCACATGGGGGCAGGGAAGTGCAGTGAGGGTTACATTCAGGGGATTGATCAAATTAATAATATGTTAAGGATAATAGGGACCAGGTCTCCTACTGTTGGAAAAAGGAGTTAAAATATAGAAGGGGAGAAAACTAGCAGGAACCATGTCAAGGGTGTTTGGAATTAGAGACGTTTTGGTGTGAGCTACATGTATGTGTGTATGTGTATGGTGTGTTTGGGGTCGAGGGTTCCGTGAAAAGAAACCAAGCTCCTGGAGAAATGTCTGGTTCTCAGGCTGGGGCAGTCTGTGCCAGAGAACAAGAAAGTGCCTAAAGGATGATGGTGGTTAAAAAAAAAAAAAGAAAAAAAAGAATGGTACTGATGTGTCAGAAAGACACAAAGGCCAATTTGAATAGGCTCACGGGTCAAATTGGGAACAATCTGAGTCTCAATATAAATAATGATAGTAATGAATTATAACACAGTGAATGAAATGGGAAACAATGAGTCCATACAGATATGAAACTTTACATGAATAAATTGAAAGTTTAATGAGGAATGGATGTTACCATAGTTTCAGAGTATCCCTCCCATGTTTATCTCAGAATGAAGAGTTGTTTTAATATTTGAAAATTAATCAATGTAACCACCAAATTAACAAACTAAAAAAGAAAAAACCGTGATCTTCCCAATAGACACAGAAAACACTTTTGACAATAGCCAACATCCTTTCATGATTAAAAAAAAATCCACAAACTAGGAATAGATGGAACTTCCTCAACCCGACAAAAGGCATCTATGAAAACTCACAGCTAACGTCATATGCAACTGTGAAGATTGAAAATGTTCCCCCTAAAATCTGGAAAAAGGATGCCTGCTCTCACTACTACTATTTGACATTGTACTGGAGGTTCTAGTCAGTGCAATCAGACATGAAAAAGAAATAAAGGGCATCCAGATTGGAAAGGAAGAAGTTAAACTGCCTTTTTTCACAGACAACACAATCCTTTTCATGAAAAGTCCTATGGATTCTACAAAAAAAAAAAAAGCTACTAGACCCTATAAGGGTGATTAGCAATGTTGCCGAATATAAGATTGATATACAAAAATCAATTGTATTTCTATAAATTAGCAACAAACAATTGGAAACCATTTATAATGGCATCAAAAAATGCAAAATAGGAAATTCCTTGGTGGTCCAGTGGTTAAGACTCCACGCTTCCCCTGCAGGGGGCACGGGTTTGATCCCTGGTCTGGGAACTAAGATCCTGCATGCCACACAGCGTAGCCAACAAAATAAAAAAATAAAATAAAATATTCCACAAATTCTTTTTAAAAAATGCAAAATATATAGGGATAAACCTGACAAAAGATGTGCAACAACAGTACACATTGCTGAGAGAAGTAAGAAGTCCTAAAACAATGGTGTAATCTGTTGTTGTTTTTTCTCATTTGAAATAAATATTCACTTTCCTATCTTAAACCAAAAAAGCACCTTCTCACACAGTGTTTCTTAAATGCCTAGGAGTGAGGAGTATCTTTACAGTGGATAAGGCTGACACTTTTTTCATCAAGTGATCCAAGCCAACATCATCAATAATGGACAAGCTGAAATGATGTATCACCTGACAGGACATCAGGAGAACACAGCATCCTTCTGTGACATTCCTGCCGAAGGATCATAAACCATACCTGGAAACCTGGAAATACCAGGCAAAGCCAAACTGAGGGACATTCTCCTAAATAGCTGGCCTGTGACCTTTAAAAGTGTCAAGGTCATCAAGGTCAAGGACAGATTGAGAAGACTAAAGAAACTGGGCAGCTGAAGGCAACAGGCAACTCCGTACTGGAGCTCTGCTATAAAAGACATTACTGGGACATTTGGTGAAGGAGGCCTGAGGATGATTGGGTAATGTAATATAATTTCTTGATTTTGATAGTCATTATATTGTTGTTTGTGGGAAACATACATGGAAGCATTAGGAGGCAATGGGGTATCGGATCGACAGCTTACTCTCAAATGCTTAAAAATATTAAAAGTTCTATGGTACTCCAATTTTTCTGTAAGTCTGTGCTTGCTTAAAAATTAAAAAATGAGGGGACATCCCTGGCGGTCCAGTGGTCAAGACTTCGCTTTCCAATGTAGGGGGTGTGGGTTCGATCCCTGGTCAGGGAGCTGGGATCCCACATGCCTCTTGGCCAAAAAAACCCCAAAACAAATTCAATAAAGACTTTAAAAATGGTACACACAAAAAATATTTAAAAAAAATTAAAAAATGAAAATTATAAGAATGTAACTATTGTCATTATCTAGAACTGCACTGTCCAGTATGGTAGCCACTTGTAACAATTGGTTATATAAATTTAAATTAATTAGAATCTTCAAAAAATTAAAAATTCAGTTCCTCCATGTCCCTGGCCACATTTCAGGTGCACTATAGCCACAAGTGAGTAATGGGTACCATATTGGACAGAGCAGATAAAGAGCATTTCCATCATCATGCAGAATTTTACTGGACAGTGCTGCTCCAGAGACTGGACACCTAGATGCCCTTACATGGAATGTTCCCAACTTGGGTTTGGGAACAGCAAGGGAGGGTCCAGAAACTCTTGGCATTTGATGGTAGATCCTGAGGCCTAAGTTTACTAAGCCATTTCTAACAGGGATTGCAATGTGAATTATTTATAGTGTACCCGGAGTTCCTCATGTAGGAGTACAAACAACTTGAGCAGTAAAACACTTGTGTAAAACAGACCTCAGGCTACTCACCGATTCCTGGTCCGTTTGCTCAGATGAGCCTGATACTTGCTGGGAGGGCTCTGTGGAGATGACCCCCACTCCTCTAGATTTGGATGGGCCAGGGGCCTCTCCGTCTTCAAGACCTGTCTTCCTCCTTGCTCTTTCATGCCGGTGTGTGGGGCCAACTTCATCTCTGGCCACCTCCCCAGGACTGATGTCTGAGTAAGCCAGATCTGGAGAAGTGACTTCCCCTTCAGGGGCCGTGGCTTCAATATCAGATTCTAACTCCTCTTCAAATTCGAATTCCTCTTCTGTTTCCATTCCCCCTTGGATTTCGACTTCCTCATCGTCTTCATCTTTCCCCTGCGCTGAGACTTCCCCATCGTTTTTGATTTCCCCTTCAGAATGCTCTGTAGCACCCTCAGTTTCTTCATTTCTCTGGTCACTGCTCTTCTCTATCGGTGATACCTGTAGCCATGTAGCAGGAAAAAAATCAGGATACAAAGTATAAAGGGTCTTGTGAGGTTTTATTCTTAATAAGGTAATTACACCGATGGGAAAACTGCAGCTACACACTCTGAGCATCGCTAGGAGATTATGTTTCATGCTTTAATTTATCTGCTCTCTGTTTTTGGTAATTATTTTGCATCCTTCTTTACAGGAAATGACCTCTGAAAAACTCAGGGCAATCTAACTGTAGGATATCCGAGGCATTCCTGAACAGCCACCAACACTTCAGAATGGGGTGGAAGGAAATTGAGCTTCTCTGCAAATGACTTGAGTCTGTTCTACAGTAAGGTCATAGGATCATCGTACAATTTTCTTGAGAAAGTCTGAACTCTCTTTAATTCTTAGTAAATACAGCCCAGAATAATTCATCCCATAAGGAACTTTACCCTGTTGCCTTCATGATTCTGGTCCTCTTCTCCTTCAGAAGATTTGTCTTCCAGGTGAGACCTGGTGGCAGAGAAACAATTTAGCAGTTTCAAATAACATCTTTCTTTTTCTTGGCATTTATCACCTCCTTGATGTCTGTATATCTACTTATTTACTCGCTAATTATCTGCCTTCCCTCTAGGCTGATGGCCATGACTTTGTCACTAACACCAGCACTAGTGGCACAAAAGAGTCATGCCAAGAATGAATGAAAAATGCAATTATCAAAACATTAAAGGAACAGGTAGATTACTCTAGAAAAGTCACCTTAAATATACCTCTGTCTGTGACAAAACTGGGGAAAATAAATGCAAAATAAGAGAAAATTGTACAAAAAAGGACAAATACCCTAGAAACTCTTGGTTAGTTTGCCCGTGAATTTTGTTTGTTTGTTTTTTGTTTTGGCCGTGCCTCAGAGCACGTGGGATTTTATAATAGTTCCCCAACCAGGGATCAAACCCGTGCCCCCTGCAGTGGAAGTGCAGAGCCTTAACCACTGGACCGCCAGGGAAGTGCCAATTACCCCATGATGTAGAGAGTACAAGAATGTCACATTTTAAAATTGTTTTTTTCTAATTAGAAAAAAACTATATTTTTTTAAAAAGTAAAACTAATACAGAAATATGTGACAGACAATGAAAATCCCCTGTGACTTCTCCTCTCCTTCTCAAGATAACCAGTGGTAAAAAGTAAGAGATTTAAGGGTATCTTCTTTCAAATATTTTTCTATGCATTTAAAGCTACCCACCCACCCAAATTAGAGATCACACTATATATACTGTTTTGCATTTAGTCTTTTCATTTGCTGTAATCTAGACTTCTTTCCATGTCAGTACATGTAGACCTACCTTAAAAAAAAAGAAAAGAAAAAAAAGAAACAATACAGCAGTGTCTAATGTAAAAGGTTAAATTCTTTAAAATAGTTTCTATCCTTTTAAACAAAGCATAAGAGAACAGAGGCCTGGTATTTTTACCTTACTACGGTCTATCTGTGTGCTCAAGGCATTCACGGTGGGGCTGCCTGACCATAGGGACCCCGGCCCATCGCCTGCCACCTCCAACCCTGGTGAGGGGGAGGGAGGCGGGGGGCTGGGCTGATGCTCCCTGTCACAGCACCTCGCTGGGGCAGCATCCAGTACAGGGACTACCAAGCAAAGTGGTTGTCATGGTTACTGTGGGACAAGGAAGTCCCGGGTTTCAGCGAGTGGAGCGCCCGGAGCGAGGGGAAAAGGGGAGGGTACGGGAGAGGACAAAGGGACGCGTGGTGAGAAGGGAGAAGGGCGCGCCGGAATGTGGGGGTGGCCGGGGAGGGCAGGAAAGGCCCAGAGGGTGGGGATGGCAGGGGCAGAGGAGAGGGGAAAGGGACATGGAAGGGAAGGGGCGCCTAGGGGGATATAGAAAGGGGGAGGCGTGGGGGCCGCTGCGAGACCCAAGGTCCCTAGGCCCGCTTACCCGCCAGCCCGGCCGCCAGGCTCCGCCATCTCCCGTTGCTACGCGACGCCGTCAACATCCGGCTGGCGAGGACCACGCGCTGGGCGTGCGGGGCGGACGGCCTTTGTGCCATTTATGTGCATTAGAAACACGGAACATCTAACTATGTAAATATATTAAAGGATAAATATGCATTTTCTCCATCTTTATCTCTTAGGCCGAGCTCTACCCCTCCTGGCTCAGTTTCTGTAAAGCGACAAACATGTCAACGTGCGTCCAGCTGGGCAACTCCGGCTCCCCGGGGGATCGAAAAGGGCACTCGGGGAGCCGGGGACCTGGGACGGCTAAGTGCCCTGAGGGTGGCAGGCGGAGGTAGGGGCACGAGGGGCTCCGTAGCCGGCTGCACCTTCGGATGCCGAGACCTCTCCTAGTGCCCGCCTGTCCATCTGCAGACCTGGGGGCCTCAGCACCCCTTTCCCGGGGTTCCTAAGAAGAATTCTTGGCGGAAGAGGGATGCCCCGTGGTCTCCTGATGGTTGCTGTTCTTTTCCTACCTCAAAATAGGAAAAACAAACGCAGAGGGTGGAACAGAGAGGGCGAGCACGCATGTGGAGCGTCCTAGGGGTTCTGCCTTCACTCCGGGGGCTCGGGGCTTCCTTCCGGGGCAAAGTCCTGGGGCCGGAGTCCCAGGCGGGCAACGAGGCCCGAAACGGGATGCGGACGGCCGGGCCGGATCCTGGGGTCGGAGGGCGGAAGGTGACTTAGGCAGTTCCGCGGCCGGGTTGGAGCCCGTTTGGGACCTGGGGGTTGGGGGGCTGGCCTGATTGGGCCGGGGGCCGGGTTGGCCCGGGGGGCGTGCCGGGGGCCGGGCCTCGCCTCGCGTCCCCGCCCCACCGCTCCTCACAGGCGGCGGCGGCAGTGGCGGCGGCGGCGGCTCCGGGAGCCGGCGCGAATCCGGCCCCCGGTGCGGGACCCGGGTGGGTATCTGGGGCAGGCCGGGGGCCGCGGGGGCGGGGTCTAAGGGGCCCGCGGGGGACCGGGCACATCCCCTCCGCCGGACGGGGTGGGGGCGCGTGGGGCGCGTGGGCCTGCAGCCGCGGGGCCCGGGAGGGGCCGGGGTCTGGCCGCAGCCCAGAGAGGTGCAGGGCCGGAGCAGGAGCCGGGCGGGCAGGAGCACGCCGGATCACGCGGAGAGATCCCTGGGCCCCCTCTCCGCGGCGGATGCGGGCCCCTGGGGCCGGGAGTGGGCCTACTTCGGGAAGATTCGGTGTCTGCCTGTCTGGAGCTTTGGGCCGGAGAACTTGCGGTCTTTGTCTGGCTGGTCGTCAGAGCACGCGAATGAGAAGTTGTAGGGGCCCGCCGTTCGCCGACACAGCCCCCTAAAGTGTGCATTCCACCCGCACAGCGCGCGCGCTTACCATTCCCGGCCTTAGGGTGGGTGGTTCGACTGTTTAAGAGCCGCATGTCAGGAAACTCACTTCCTTTAGGCCCGGTCTCTTCCTCCTGTTCTTTTCTTTAAAAAAAAAAAAAGAAAGAAAGAAAAAGAAAGAAAAGAAAAAGGAAAAAAAAATAGGCAATTTAAGATTGCTAAATATAACCCAAGAAACGCTGCCAGAAGCGGTGAATCTTGAAATCCTGTTATTCCCACACTCGGAAGTTGGTGTCATATGTTGGCCACAATCTAGTTCAGATTCTATTCAGAAATAGAAAACGACATAATACGTTCACTTTCCTTACCGTAAAGTTTGTTTTACTGCCTCCTCAAGTTCATAGGAGAAGCTGGGTTGGTTGGCCAGCCCCTGTGACTGGTCCCACCGACCTTTCTTTACCACCTGCAGGCACCAATTCTTTAATTTGGAAAGAAGAGGGAAATGGTTCTCAAAAAACGGCCATGTGATGGAGCATATTATCAAAGGGCAGGTGCAAAGGCCCAGTTTCGTGAATTCCATTCTAAGTCTGTCAGAGATTGATTAGAGAACTTTTAAAAAATCTGTGTGTTAGTTTTAGAAATTCCTCATTAGAAACATTAATGTTTAATTGATTAGCAAACATTAAACACTTTTAAGAACCAGGAAAACTTTTGCAAAGAAAGGATTATTAAGGTTAGGAATGCATTTTAGTATTAACTGTGAAGCTTGTTCATGGCTATTCATTGTTGGTATTCGGAGACTCGTTCTCTGCTGAGTACGCTTGGCTTGTGGAGTGTTTATGGTGAGCAGTCTCAGAATATGACTAAGGAAAGTTCTTATCAGTGGAATTTTTTAATCCTTCAGACATGATAATTGTTGTGTAAATAGCTTCTGATTATCATGCATGAATTCACTGAACCCACTAAACAAACCCATAAAGTCAGTACTGAGGTTATCCCCATTTTACAGGTGGGAACACTGACACTTAAAGTAAATTCCCCAAGTTCACACATCCAGGAGTGAGAGTAATAGAGGCCTTGGGCCCAGGATGCTCCAGCTCCAGAAAACCATTGTAGCACAGTGCCTCCCCTCTTGTAACTGGACCCTATGATTCACATGCACACACTCTCCCTGCCCCCCTTTTTGCAGACAAATAACATGGTTCACTCTGCCAAGTGATTCATAAACATGCAAGAGAGTGGGGACTAATCCATGTCACCACTAGCTGCTAATATCAGTTCAGTTTAGTCTGTAAAGAGCTCCCTAGGCCTCAGTGTAAAGGCATCTGAGAAGACAGCTACTGGGTTTGCAGAACCCTACCTACAAATGTGCTGGTCTCCCTGCCTCGGGCTTTGGGTAGCTCAGTGCACTGGTTAAAAAATGGCCTCCAAATGTAGACTGCTGGGTTCAAATACCAACCCTGGTACATAGTACTGACTTAATACCTCTGTGCCTTGTTTTCTGCATCTGTGAAATGGGGGTAATACCACCTACCACAAAGTTCTATTGCAACAATTATCTAAAATACCTAGTGCCTGGCACATTTGAAGTGCTTGGTACTATAAATTTTTAATTATTATTAATGACCATCATTTGGATTTTTCACATTTAACTAGATTGGTAAAAAGTTTGGTTTTGTTTCCATGTGTATGTGGGCCATCAGATGGAAAGCTAATCATAAGCAGAAGTGGAATTCTCCATTTAGGTATATTTACTTTTTTTTTTTTTTTGCGGTACGCAGGCCTCGCACTGTTATGGCCTCTCCTGTTGCGGAGCACAGGCTCCAGACACGCAGGCTCAGCGGCCATGGCTCACGGGCCTAGCCACTCCGCTGTGGCTCTTCCCGGACCAGGGCACGAACCTGTGTCCCCTGCATCGGCAGGCGGACTCTCAACCACTGCACCGCCAGGGAAGCCCTACATTCTTATCTTTGTAACTTTGTGGGGTGCTGAGTCCCTGTGGGCTGCCCAGGGACCAAGATGATCAGGTTGCCTGGCAACACAAATCTGGAATAAAGATTTTAACTTGTCCCTCACATCTGGCTGAGGGTCCCCAATTTTGTTATTTACAGGCCTGAATCCTCTCCTGTAAGATTAGTGAATTAATTTCATACAGTGGTACAGTTGGGGAGGATGGCTTTAAACATGATGGATTTGTAGCAGTGGAGTGGAGTGGAGTGGAGCAGTGGTTTTATTGGTGTACATTGTATTGTACATTGTTCTGTTGTAGCTGTATTAGGTTGATGAATACAATCTGATACAGATACAATAGATGAGGTCAATGCACAGAAAAGAAGGCACATACTTTCTGCTCCAAAAAAAAAAAAAAAAATTGGAGCAATAATATAGGAAATCTTTTCCCATTCAATTCGGTGCTGTTGGTTTTGATGCTACCGACCACCCATATACCCTTTGGGCACCTGGTCTGGCATCTCTAATAAATCTGCTTTGATGAGCTGTCTGATGATATCTGATCTGAAGCATGTCCTTTACTCCAATCTCCTGAACTGATAAAGACATCCTCAGAGAGGAGAGAAATCAGGTCACTTGCAACTGAGTTCGACGTCTGCCTGCGGTAGCTTCAGTCATACAGCTAGCACAAGGAGAGAACAGAAAACCCAAATTCATTATCCAGTCTGAACGGCACGCCCTTCTCTGCCTGAGCCTTGGGCGGCGAGTCTGAGCAGGTGTTTAGAGTTGATGTACAAGATGAGGAATCATCTGTATGGACTCACCTGACCACATATAGAGATGTGGCTGTGTCTTTTCCATGCTCTTTCTGGATTGGCTCCTAAAGAAACCACCATAACATGGGTGCACCTTGAGCCTGTGTCCGCACCTGCTTGCACACCTTGTTGTGTATGCTGGTTTTCCACCGAATGACCCTGATCCTGATTTCAACAGTCTGATAAATTGGTCTTTACACTTTCCGGTGTTGGAATCGGAGCAAAGCGCATACTTAACACATGGCATTGGACACCCTTTCATTTTTCAATTTCTGTAGCTAAAATGCTTTCCCTGGGCAAGATCGGTTGTGTTGCATTCCAGGGGTGTTGTCAGTACATTTCCCCCCAGTTTGATCTCTGTTTTGTGGTACGTTAGCTACTCCTTTGCCACAGATAGTGAGAAACTCTGTGTGTTAAAGTTAACAGGCACAGTACAGAAGTCAGATGCACCTCATCCTCTGTGGGGTTGGTCATTGCTTTCCTGGCTGGATTTGCACTTATCCTTGCCTTTTGGGTATAGTCCTTCCTTGGTCCTCAATCCTGACTCATCTTTAAGTCTGTTTCTTCTTGCAGGCCCCCTTCCTTGGCTCTTTGAGGGAAATGGTGTTGGGGGGGTTGCTGTCGAGGGGCACAGGCAGCAGATGGTTTCTCTCGGGAGAGGCAGAGGCTTTGGGACTTTCCAGGCAGTGGTAACAATTGAAGTGACAACTGGACAGTTGGAAGAGGAAAGTCACAGCTAAGCAGGCCACCAGACCTCCCCTCACCCTCGTTTCTGAAGCTGTCTTCTCCAGTTATGGCCTCCTGAAGGTCCTTTTTCCTTATGGCAATTAGCCCAAGCCTCTGGCTCTGGAGTTGATGCCCTAAGCGTCATTCCTTCAATTTAACTGCAAGTCGATTGTTTTGGTCCTCATTTCTAC